AACAATCGAGTTAGCTGATGATCACCACAACGATAATGATAAAAATGCCCCTCGTTATTCACGTGATACGGGCGGCTGCGTCGCGCGTGGGGGAAAACCTGGGCTTATCGAGACAAATTCGATAAGGCCGGAACGCCACCACGCTGCAAGCCCAGCAACCATGTATTCACACGCAGACACATGAGAAACACAGTGACAACCACATACCTTGGTCTTGGAGCGAGTTCCGCCTTGTGAGTCAATCCAGATGTACTCAGCCATCGATCGACCACGCTGGTCGAGAGACATGTACTTCATGAGCTAATCACCCCCAGGGCAAGTCAGTATATTGTGTTTCCTCTCTGGCTCAAAGGCCATTGTGGAAATCCAAAGTATCGAGAATCAAACGCACATTCTCCGTGTTGGAGATGACAGTTGAATCGGCCTGTTAATAAGAGGGAAAATCGTTAGCATTCAAATTCATCATGAATGAGTCACAGCATCGCCAGGGAGATGGGAGATGGGAGACAACGTACCATAATGAATGGTGATGTGATGTGAAGCGTTTCAAAAACACAGAGGTAGACTTGCGAAGCAAGCTGGTTTGAAGTTGAAGAGATGGATAAAGAGAATCCCGAAGGATAGGAAAGCACAGAGAATAGATGGATGGAGAATCCAAAAAGAGGGAGGAGGGTGAGTTTTTAGATGGTGGGGAGGGGGAAAGATAAAGATTTAAATTTAGTCACTGCCTTTTCACCTTTTGGGGGGGAAAACGGAGAATGAGGAAGGCGTGGGTCAGCCACTCCCGAAACTGACTAGCCGTATCCTGTTACGGGTAATCTTACATGTCGGTATTACACCTTACACCTTACGCCTTACATCCTGCCGGCGTCAAAAAAAAGTGCCTCATACTAAAACACATTCTTCCTGCCCGAAACCGGGGTCGTTGGGGAAACAGAAAAATCGCTCGTTGCATGTTTTGAGGTATTTTGCTTCTTTCAATTTATAGATATAAAAAAAAAAAAGGAGTAAGTCTCAGGGGGTCAGGAGGTGTACAACAAAACCCTCGTCTTTACGTTCAAGCGAGACAAGCGCAAGCTTCCCAGAATTTCAGCGCCACCCTCCGTGTCATCATCGTAGCATCATACAAGCGCTGCAGTGCCCGGTCGTCGCCGAGAAGTTCACCACGATCACAAGCGATCTTCCGCTACCCGCATACTCATACTGGCTGCTCGGCCGTCGATTTCTAAATGGGTTCCTCCGACCTCCGCATTTCATTTTCAAGGTTTACAATGGTCCCTTTTTCCCGGGTTTCCTTCTGTAGACCGCCACTTGAAGGTGACAAACTTCCCACTACGGAGTAGTAGTAGTATCTTTTCCCTCGTCCAAGTGATATCTTTAGGATATATTTGCCTCTTCCTCGTGATAACCATCACCCAGCAAGATCCAATCACCGACCAGGCCTTGTAATGGGGCCCGGTAATATGATCAATCCCACTTCTCCCGTTGGACCGATAACAACTCGCAAAGGACCCTAGAGGCTTGCCCTGACCTTCAAATCTATTCAAATCTAGCTCTCTCGATTGGACGAACCTACGCATCTGCCTCCTAAAGCTGGTCAGGGGCGGTCGTGTGTGATCTCCCGTAAGGGGAACCCCACGTCTTATCCAGGTCCTCTGATCCCGAGCGGGAAAAATCCGGGGATCGTTCATCGTTCCCCCTCTACCCAGCACCCATACACGCCCGTCCATCTGGCAAGAAAGAGCTGCACTCGGGAATTATACAAATCTAAATCTGTCTGGTCGGATAATTTACGGGTCCATGCTGTGCTTTGCATCGCATTGCTGCGATACTACCTGCCCAAGCAAAACAAGCTGTCAATCCACAACCGTGCTAGGATGCAGTCTTGGCATATCAAGAGCGAGGCCGGGATTAGATATTAGATATTATGTACAGACATACATAGCCCGGTGGTCAACTAAATCCGCTATCATAGACATATCAGAAAAAGCAAAGAATAATCACGCTACTAGTACAAAGTACGGGCGATGAACTTCAGACTTTGACTTTATTGAATCCATCGGATACATGCATTCTTTGTATAAATGGAAATGTATGGAGTACGGATACATATGAGCATACTTTGTAAAGGGTCCACGCACTGGCACATCATGCGCATGCAAAGACCCAGACCACTGTCTGTAAAAATACTCGTACTAGCAGACACATCGAGCTTCAAGAGATGTGCTCAAGCTTCCTTCGCAGATTCACCGTCCAACAAAAACGGTACCTGAAGCCCGGCCAATGGCTATTATTGTGCTACTGGTGTATCTGCACTTCGCACGGTGCCGCGTGGCATATCCGACCCTAGAGAAGTTCTAGCTTCACAACACCGCCATCTAGACCTTATCGCCCATAGTGTACCTGCAGCGATGTCCAATATTGCGCGATATGCAAATCTTACCGTAGGCCCTCATGCGTCGATACCTTACCCACCGATGCAGGGTGGACCTCCACCAACAGATACCAGTCAGTACCGATACGATCCTCAAACTCCATCGACCCCCATCGACCCCCATCACCCAGCCACTTCGAGTCGCCGGCCAAGTGGAGCGTGGCAAAACGTTCTCGAAACCCCCGGCGAAGCACCAATCATGCGGGACCATGAGCCAATGGAACCGCCCCGATGCCGGCCACGGCACTGGGATTCGGCGGGACGTATCACGAGTCGCGTTCGAGATTTTTTGTTTTAATTTTTCAGGTTTTTTTTTATTTAATAATTATATTACAATGTATGTACTCGGCTATGTAAGAAAAACAAATCGAGTCGGATGTGGGAAATTCCGCATTAGGTAGGGTTTTAAGGGTAAAAGGGTTGAGGACGGGTGAAAAGTTAGCCCTTTGTATATGGAAGGGAGAAGGAGAAGAGAACCCCAGAGTAGGGATTCTCCAGATGGTCACGGCGGACAATGAACTCTTTGAAAAAGTGGCTACTTGATCCTCCCCCCGTATTTTCGTGGGCAAATGGGTGTTCAGCAAAAGGTCGGGGGATTTAGGGGGGAGAATCGGGAAGGCGACCTAGTGGCTAAGGGTTCCGATCCTCACCCTTCAGCCCTGTCTAAGAATACCTGAGACCTCAAGTACATATAATACACTGCACTCGCCAGAACTACCTCGTCTCGGCCAAACCCGAATACTTTTCTCTGGAGGAGTAGTCCGAAGAAGGAATCGTGTTGCACAGCCGCGCTGAGTTCTATTTCGATTCTTCCGCGCGGACAAGAATAGCATGGCGTGAAACATGACTCAAGGTGTGTTAGTCATCAATCTGGAATCGAGGCGCAGAGTACGGAGTACCCTACAGTATGGCCGGGCCGGGTTTCCTGCACAATGCCCTATCCAGGATACCCTAGGCCCTGAAGAGAAGCGGAAAGTCACACATACCCTCGGCCACAGCAAGTGGAATTGTATTTCGATCAGTCACGAAACGCAAAGGATAATCCAGGTGTGGTCCCAGATGGTCAATTCTGGGTATTCTAGTCCGGGATCGACATTAACCCTGGCTTTCTTATCGGTCATCGCTCATTGGTCTGACACATGGCGCTGACTACCCCCGTCCGGTTAGAACGCTTGGCCATTCTCTGCGTTTGGAACTGGAGGTCCCAGCCCCGGCATGCTTTACGGTAATCACTGGCGTGTATGTATTTCTGATCTGACCATTCAAGTGTTTTTGAATTTTTTTGAAACTACTACCTCCGTTTCTTTGCTTGACATGGATCAGCATATTCTTACGCTTCAAATACCTTCCACGTAAGAGGGATTTCTCCAAGCAATGCTCTAAATCCCTCACCGGAATGTGGACTCGCAAAATAATGAGGGGCACTTTTACGACTGGTTTCCCAGGCACTGATAACGATGTCATAGCGTCTCCATCATCAGCCATGGCAAAAGCCTCAGCTGGTGGGGTGGCGTACCACGACTGGTCCTGATAAACCCTCATGTATATGTACTGTGTATTTCAGTATTGAATATTTAATGACTCTTAGCGTCTTATTACTACCTCTTTCAAGTTCAAGTTTTCAAGAAGTAAGATATCCCGCCGAACGGCCTAGTGCCTCATCCATAGCACTTCGTGCCCGCTTCCGGCGCGTCATGGATAAAAAACATCGTAGACTTTAGATTCGGCTATTCACGCACTTTCTCCTCCTTTTGATGGACTCCGATGCGAGGACGACGTAAAGCTGCAGAATTAGTGGTAACCCCGCACCGCTGGGGGATGTCCGGGTGTTGATCAACTAAACGATGTAATGATGATGATTTGGTGGAAAGTCGCCAAGTTTCAAGAATTTCAGCGAGCCTAGCCATGCGTCTGTCATGTAGAAACTTGAACATGAAAATGAATCATGTGATGCTGCTGAGCCCTTTACTGCTGGTGTCTTCCTACTGTGTTTGTATGTTTAACTTTATGATATTGTGTTTTGAACTTCATATTAGAGGCAAATACTAGTATGAATGGCTGGTGACTCAAAAGATATCAAAATCCTTTTGCTGTCGGGTGAGGCCCAAGCTCTAGCCATAGAAAGCTATATGCTAAATACATCTCCCATGCAGCATCATTTCGCGAGGCTTTGTTTGAATGCTTCTGGTTTGCGGGATTCTGCGATCTAGGACACCGGCGTTGTTTGTTGTAGAGCTATTATCACATTCGATAAACTGTCAATGCACAGGCGCGGGAATCACCCATGTTTACGCATGGTCAGATAAACCCCAGGGTCAATCTGCCGCGAGCCGCACGGCAAACGGAGCGGTTTGACAGGTTGCACAGTGCACACGGCAATAAACCGAGAAACACTTGCCCATGCACCAAACCAGGGGTGGGCAACCCTACTGGAGAATCGGATAAGACCGCAAATTATGCAAGCTGTCCCGACTTGGCGCAGAGATAATCGGATGACGGATGATCCGGGAAGAAGCTCGGGCAGGGAGACCGAAAGCCCCTAGAAGTCCGGACTCCTGTCTCTGCCTCAGCCGCTGACAGCCCGCTGCCGCTGCCAACGCAGGACCCACTCCACCAGAATGCCAATGTCCTGTGAGATCTCTAGGACCCTGGAGATCCTCTTGTGGATATTCTGCAGCTCCCACTCAGATCCGGAGTCATCTGCCCCGTGCATCTCTGAGTCGCCATTGTAATGCTGTGTTTTTCCTTGCACAAGTCCTGAGCTGTCCACCGTTGATATACGGCCATTAAGACCAACCTCGAAACAAATTGATATTAACGGGTCGTCATGCTGAGTCTGATCCGTGGTCTTGGTAGAATCAGTGATGAAAAGCATGACAGCCGGCGCTTGTCCGAGTTGTGTGCGTAATGTAATGTCCACTTTGATACCATCATCTGTAGGATCACTAGATTGACCATTGGTGGCGCAGTCGGTGCCACTTTCCAACCCATCGCCCAAGAGAAAATTCAGCCTATCTTCGTTGGGGTCCTCGTTACTCAGGATGGTGAGCCCATCGTTTTGAGAAAGTAGTTCTGAAATGGGGTCTGCGGGAATGGAAGATTTGAACGACACGGTCTTTGGTGGCTCGGGTTTCTTTTCTTGGCAAAGGGGGGGAATTAAAAGCTCGCCGGATAATGCTTGCGAGCAAAGCGTATTGGCGGAGAACCTAGTTCAGGTTAATATCAACAACTAATATTTAGGGGACAAAAAAGCTTACCGGCAAGATTTCGGCGAGCTGTCGAGGATGAGAAAAGGGGAGTTCAGAAATTGTACGGCCTGTGACAGATTCGAATGCTTGGAAGGTGTATGTATGACTTTTTGTGCAAGGGTTGCCCGTTGAATCGGGTGCTTCGATGGAAGATTTGTGCTTTCTTCGACCAAACTGAGCTGATGAGTCCGTCGCTGGCCCTGGGACTAACAAACCATCATAGGTCACCATTTTGAAATCTTGGGGTAATTGCATACCAAGGTGTTGATGAATATTGGAGGCAGCGAGAATTGGAATGTCAAGGGGGGGTTCTAATTTGGCGACAAAGCGACGATTGGGGGGTGAATGGCCCAACATATTTGAATCGAGAGCCATGGAATCGGGATGGTCGCCGTGTGGCAAGCGCATGGTCCGAGGCGGCTCAAGCCAGTTTACTGACTCCGCGGACCCAATTGAGGGCAACGATTCACTGCGCTCTCTGGGTCCGAAAATCTCGTTTCCGACCCATTCTTTCGAGATGCGTAAGGATGGGTATCCTTCTTCACATTCGATCATTACAGTCCATGCTTTTTGTTGGTCTTCGACTTCTGGATCTGTCTCTTGCGGGTGGTCTATCGCCATTGAATCGGCAGATGTAGCAATATTCTTCGAATCCAGTAGCTTCGCTTGCTCAATCCAGTATTCCAGGCCTAATCCAACCCGAGTGCCCTTATGCATCGTCGGGCGACCAATGACCCCATTGCAAAGATGTTCATGATCACCTCCGTGCTGTCCATCCTTGTTTTCTTCTGCCCAGATGCGCTTAAGATTATCCTCAAGACCCTCGAGTGCCTCGAAGCAGTTCACCTCCTGGCTGAGCTTGTCCAGCTTCGCCAGCCATTGCAGATTTTTGTAAAACGGACCGAGCGATCTCCATTTCCCCGAATCGGCGTCCTGGAGGGATTGTATGAGATTTCGTTTCAGGACCAAAGTAGCAGCTTCGCGCCGCCCACCGTCGGTATGTTCCGCAGTTGCATATTGTAAATTCACCTCTTTAACAACGTCATTGCCGGCGTGGAATTCGATCTCCAAGTCAACGAAGTTGCCTGCAATATTGATGTTGTCATCTTGCCAGAGACGTTCAAGGCCTTCCAGGCGACTCAGCCGCTCTATGCCATCCCGAGAAACTCCTCTTCCTGCAACGCGGGTGCGAAGACTCCGGACAACTTCCTCAATGCGATGCCTTTGTTCCTCGTCGCTATCCCTTGCGACCCCGAGCTTCAGACCTTGCATACCCAGGTTCTGGATATCGTTCTCGTTCATGCTGGTGCCAACCAGGCTATCATGCACAGCAGGTGAGGGACTGATCCCAGCGTAGCCTCCAAGCGCGAGAAGCGCTGAGGGGGAGCTGAAATTAACGGGATCGTCCACAGCGCTTGTCGTCGCGAGAGGCGTGGTATACTGATGCGACGAAGTGCTTGGTGGCTGGTTTAATCCTGGGCCTGAGGCTGTCGGGGTTCTCATTGAAGGCGACTTGTGAGCCATGGAGCGGGAGAGGGGCGCGGAGGATGGGTGAGGCGATGAGGTGAGGTGAGTGGGAGTTGCACCCGGCTTTGCTGATGGAGTCGCCATGTCGTAGTGTATCACAGTGGTTTTACTGTGATATCATGGGCGGAAGCCTGGTATTGAGCCGTTTAGCTGCGCGATGCCGTCAGGGAGCAGCAGTCTGCAGGTCAATGGAGATTTCGTAGTGGTGCTAGCAATCGGGGAGCTATAAAAGAGCCGATGTCTTAAGCAAGTGTCGCGCCAGGGAATCTCACACGGCGCGCAAAGCAAGAAGCTCAATCCACTGCAGCCTCAAGATCAACGACGCCGGCATTCGCGGTTGACAGGCGATGAGCTGCAGCCGGCAAAACAAAAGGCCCACTCACCGCCTTGGGATCTGCACGATGACCGAATGCTTGGAAGCTCACCTTCTCCGGACTTCACCACTGCTCTCTTGAGTAAAGTTAGTGGTCTTCCGGATTGGAATTTTGGGATGTTTGCCACACGATCACTTGGCCGTCAGGTCTTTGGTGCGCTCAGATGGGCTCACATTCGCAGTGTCTCTACATTGGAAGGGAACCCTCATATAGTATGCGATTCGAGGTTAACTGCTACCTGCGATTGTGGTGCTAACTCAGTTCTCCTCCAGTATATATTTCCTAGTGAAAGCCCATCGTCACATATTCTATCCCTCCTACCCTCCGAACCAGTCAACCCCAAACTTGCCATTGGAGTTACAACCAAGCTCCCCCCAACCGCGGATTCGCTCAGAGAGAACTCAAAGTTTCTCGATGTCCTCCAAGAAGTTTTTACCAAGCATGCTCATGAAGATCCCGATGCACAGTCCCAGGCCCAAGTCATGGTGTCCACTTCAGGTGCCAATCTAATGTCAGGCGGCGTGCTACTTGCTGGCAAGCGGGGCGGAAGACGGCGCAAAGAGATGGGAGACTCTAGTGGTGGAGCCAGTGGTCAAGGTGGTGCTGGGTCTGCTGGCAGAGGTGGCTGGATACACATTTCCGATAGCAGACGACCTCCAGAGTATGGAAGAATCGCTTGGTACGCTATAGCTAACGAACGAGGCTGCTAGATGCTTCTAACTAATATTGTACAGGCCCGAGGATATGTTCGGTAGTCTCGAGGTTGATGGACAGGGTCAATTTGTAAATGGGAATGGAAACTATCAGCCTAGTGGTATGGTATACTCAACCCTGGTATCTACACCTTGCCCCGCTGACAATATAGCAGGCACCTATCGGACCGTGACCCGAGACGGAATGTAAGAGCTTGTTTGCTTATACTATTACGGAGTCGATGATTTGCTAACTCCATGGCATAGCCTGGGATTGAGTCCATTCCTCAGAGAAAAGCTTGTGCAGAGACTACGAGAGCTGGAGAAGTAATAAACCAAGATCTAAAGAGCGTTCAAGTTATATATCTTCTTCTCCCTTTCCCTCTCCATCCCCCTCCACCCATACCTAGTACCTAGGTACCTATACAAGTTCTCTAAATTACAGAGATCATACGACCCCATGCCGCCACCTGGGCATGGATTCAAGTTCAATTCCGGATCCCCAGGTGCTACTACCCCCGCCAGCGATCAAGCCTTATCATCAAAAACACCAGATACTAAGTTGATGATTGGCTATTTACCCAGACCACTGTCAATAGAATATAATTATCGATCTTTTTTATCACTATTTTAGCGGTTAATAGCTAGAGACAGGCTCAACAAGTCTTTGGTAACCTCACTGACCACGATATCCAAAAGTTCAAAGCCCATATCCAGTGCAAATTGTGGACAAGCTGCCACTTGAGCCCTGGAGATTGTGATTTTGATTATTCAATATCTCGAAATCATACTAGACCTCGGGACTCACTACTATCATGATGTCTATAAAGAGTTTCAAAGACCTGGAAAAGGCTTCTGTCTTCCCACGCCGTACAACACGCTCTAATCCAGACGCTGGGACCGTTGTCCAAGACACAGCTGCCTTCAATATCAAGAACCTTGGAAAAGAATTCGGATTACTATAATCGATTACACCTACTGAGAGCCCCGAAGAGATGGTCTGCATTATACTAGTAGTATGAAACCTGAACTTGAACTTGAACTATCTCGAGACTTTTCTTTGCTAGTACTACTAGTACTGGTAATTTACTAGAAGGGGCCGCAGCCTCCATTACTGCTAGTAGTAACCCTGGAGTGGTCCACGGTACCTGCGAGTGCAAGAGCACAATGACCTCAGCCTTGCACAGGTGGACACTTCAAATTCCATGAATATTTTCTTACATCTGTGTGAATGTTTTTATTATTTAAAAAAATTAGTGATCCTCTGTGATCCACCAGTCGATTTTGTCGGACCAGACTTTTTCTTAGGTGTATTGCGAGTGGCGCTGCGCATCTTCGACTTCGACGGCGATGGCGAGATTGTGCTTTCAATGATTTTCTGCTTCTTATTGCGTTCATCAGTGCTCGGCGTACTATGCTCCCTTTTGATCCCTTTCTTATCAAGTGTCTCTAAGCCATTGTCTTCTTCGGGTTTTGGCTGCGGAGAAACGGATTCCTTCTTCGGAGAGACATCTGAGCCGGCGATGGGGCCGTCTTCTTTTTTTTTGGCGTTGCTGAAGAAATTGGCGATATTGCTCTTGTTCTCCTTGCTGTTGACTGGGACAATGAAGTCAGGAGAGTTGTTCCCGACCTTGCCAACCTCTTTTGCGACGGGGTAGCATTCTAGCTCGCCTTCGTATGGCCTAAGAATGGACTGCAATTCTTTCGACCATGTCGTTCGCTTGGGATCAAGCCATGTCCTCATTGCTTCCGAGCCAGGTTCTAGAAGAACAGGCATGCGTTCATGTAGGAATGCAAGGTAAGGGTTCGACGAGGTTGTGATGACGGTGTAAGTGTAGAGTTTCTCGTCTGAACCTGCTCGAGGAATCGCCTATTAGCGATATCTTTCCCTTTAGAAGGAACCAGTAGACCTAGAATCTCACCCTCGTATTGCACGCAATCCCATAGTCCCGCAAAACACATCAAATCTCCATCCTTTCGTTTGACAAAATGAGGAACCTTTTCCTTGCCACCCGGTCCTTTCTTCAGCCATTCGTAGAAGCCTTGACATATGACAATACATCGCTTCCTTCGCTTCATGGTCGTCCACATGCCCCGGTCTTCGATCAATGAGTCGTCTCGGCAGTTGATAGTACGCATCATGGAGCCATAGTCTGGCGCACGCTTAGTCCAAAAAGGAATGAGACCCCATTTCATACTTTGAATCTTGTATTTTATATTCTCGGATTCATCTTGATGCTTTTCCGGTTGTTCTTCCTTTGATGCCTCTTGTTCATTATTCCTGCCCTCGTTTGGAGCTTCCTGGTGGCCATGGCCCCTGTCAGGGATGTCTGCTCGATAGACAGCGCCGAAATTACCGGGAGCAAAGTTAAATGTTTCCCGAATGTCTTCGTCTTCTGGCGCGTCGTCAACTTGCATGCCCCTGTCCTCTAGTTGCTGTCGCATGTACGCCAAGCGCTGTGGCGGAAATGAGCATGAGGTTTAGTCTACCATGACAAGGAGAACGTACCACACCCAACGCATATCGCCCACACATTTTCAGTGAGACCGTCGAGACGATCTACTTAAATAAACAATGTGCTTAGTTCGTACAACCGGCGCAAAAGATGAGTGTTGGATACGAGTAGGCAGTACGGGCGACGTCATATGCAGTGGGCGGAGAGAAGCTTGGGCCAAGAGAAAATCGACCTGCGGCCGTAATCTCCGCCTTCTCATCCTCAACCCTCAACCCAGAACACGGCAATTCCCTAGACATAAACCGGCGCGGCAAATCAATTAAAAGAACACCTTTCCATTCAATAATACGCCAATGTTCCGTGCAGCGTCGGGGCGCCTCAGCGCCAGCATCCCGCGTCTCCTCCAAACCCAGCGCCAAACGACCACCCGATCAATATGCAGCAACGCCGCACGACCTACACCACATGCACGAGTATATAACACGAACCTAACCCTGAACTCGCGCGTTGCCGGTCAGCGTTACTCCTCGTTCGGTCATCGTGTCCGCATGGGCTATCGCGAAGCGTCAAAGGACATTTTCCGCAAAAACCCCGTCGTGCTGCCAATCGCTCTCCTTGCTGCCGTCGGCGGAATCACCTTTTTCATTTACACTACTTATGTCGAAGTCACCAAAAATATACCACAGTATACGAAATTCCCGCCGAAGGTGGCGGATGCTCTGCGCCAAGCCATTTACTACACGGATATCGACCTGAACGCACCGAAGGCATTGCAGGCGTACAAAAATGCGCTGCACCTGGCCATTGACGAGGGGATGCATCCTTTCTCAGACGAAGTGTTGGGCCTCAAGATCCAGGTTGCTGCGATGCTGGAAAAGGCTGGATTGGTGAAGCAGGCTACTGAGGTTCTAGAGCGGACGAAGAGAGAAGCATTGTCCTGGATTGAAGAAGGCCAACGGTCAGAGTCTTCTATTGTCACCCAAACTTCACTTCCAGAGGCGCAGCTATCTTCCAATTCCAAGGTCGCTCCTGATAATGTGCAAATCAACGCACAGGCACTGCAGGACGCGGAGAAGGAATTGAAGGAGATGCAGGAATACGAGGCGCGACAACGGGATCGCGCATTGAAGAAGGTCATTGGTATCGAGATGAAGTTGGCCGAGCTATATTCCAGCGACTATATCCAAGATGACAAGAAGTCCGAGGCGGCTCAGATTGCTGCCGTAGAATTGTGCCTTAAGGAGATGCACCGACGCCAGAAACTAGGGTTGCCCGTTGGGGCAAGTTCCGGCGAGGGATCGGATTCTTCGTGGATGAACTTGACCGAAATCGCCACTGCGCTGACAGATCTCGCAATAAGTTACACTGCCAAGGAACGACATGAGCTCGCCATGCCATTATACCTTCGTGCATTAGACATCGTCCGTGCCGAGGAGGGAAGCACCCCCTCGTGCAAGCAGGTCGTGCTGCTGAATAGCGTTGCCAGCTCCATGGCTGGCCAGGCACAGCCAACATCGCCTCGTGTACAACAGATGAAGCAGCAGGGTATTTCCCAAGACCCCACGGTTGAGGCTGCTCGGCAATGGGCACAGAAGGCCATTGATGTCGCGGCCCACATCAAACCCCCAGTTCGCGATGAGGAGTGTGATCTTAGCTGTGTTGCGGCTACTTATAACCTTGGTGAACTGGCTGAGTTACAGCAAAAGCCCGAAACAGCAATTGCACGCTATACCGAGGCTAGATCACTTGCAAAGGGACTTGGATACCAAGAAGGGGTCTCATTGGCGGATGATGCGTTGGCGAGACTCCGAAAGAGACTCCTATAGATGTATCACTGTAGCAGGATAGCAATATTTGTACATTACTTGATGACCCAATAGAATTCATCTCCTACCCTCATTTACCTGTGCTTCAAATACCCGCTGCCCATATATCAGAACAGGGATAAACAAATATAGGAGAGACCCTTTCTTGTGAGATACCACATTATGTGGCCAGGTCATTGAAGGACGCAAGCATTTGCGGGCCTATTACGACAAATGCCTGATACTACGAGACTGGAACCAAGTGAAGAAAAAATAGGAAACATTTTGATGCCTTAAGTGGTATTAGAACATCACATGCCTTCACAAGATTCCAGACATTTGATTTTAATGGCGAAATCGAGTAAGCTAGGCATGTTAGAAAACCTCTTAGACCGGGGCGGCCCCGTCCCAAAAGTGCTTCATTGCTCGTGGCTCATACATTCCAAACCAATTGCCCTTCTTGTTCTGGATTTTGAACTTTTTTTTGATTCCCTTGACGATATATCAAAAAGAGGCCTCCATTCCCTTCACCGCAAACTCATCAAACAGGATCTAAGCCCGCGACATAACACCCCAGGCACGGATCTTGTTGTCGGTGTAACCGGCGAAACAGGGTCTGGCCGTCGGCGGACCAGGCCAGGGAGATACACTCGGGGTCACGGCTCTTCTTGCCCTTCTCAACGTACTCGGGCTTGAGCTCATCAACCTTGCTCTTCTTCTCGAGGTCGAAGATGGTGATGGAGCTGCTGGTGGCGGCGCACAGCCAGTAGCGGTTGGGGGAGAAGACCAGGGCGTGGATCTCGTCACCGGCGTGGAGGGAGTAGAGGTGCTTGGACTCGTTAAGATCCCACAGCATGGTGGTACCGTCCTTGCCACCGGAGGCGCACAGGGATCCATCGGGGAGATGGTGACGGTGTTGATGTAGCCGGTGTGACCGATGTGGTCAGTCTGCAGACGGCAGGAAGCGAGCTCCCAGACCTATATCATGGATAAATTGTCAGCTTTTCTGATTTCATCCATATTTTGACGGTTCGAATCCAGCAGCAAAAATTTCTTCTTTCTCCTCATTCAAAACAAAAGAATGTTTTGAATGGTTTCTATCAGGCATTGGGTGAATGGTTGTCTCATGGCCCTGAGGGCTCTGAAGTAGCAAATACGTTTATATGCAAACATCATGTAGGGGGTGGGAGTGCAAAAAAAAGCAGTCGAAAAAGTATATCCTGTGGACTCGGGGGGTCGGGATGGATAGCGTACCTTGACGAGCTTGTCCCAACCAGCGGAGACAATGACGGGGTTCTGGGGGTTGGGGCTGAAGCGGACGCAGGAAACCCACTCGGTGTGGCCCTTGTCGGTGATGGTGAACTTGCAGTCACCGAGGGTGTTCCACAGCTTGATGGAGCGGTCACGGGATCCGGAGACGATCTGACGGTTGTCGGCGGAGAAAGAGACGGAGAGAACGTCGTTGGTGTGGCCGACAAAAGTGCGGGTGGTGTTACCGGTGGACAGCTCCCAGAGGCGGAGGGACTTGTCCCACGAGGAGGACAGAGCGTAGGCACCGTCGGAGGAGATCACCTATAGACGTAGAAAAAAGACCAGCGGTCAGCCAGAAAGCTCCAATTATTTCCCGGTTCCATTATCCGATGCCAATTCAATTCATTCGATTTCCGATTGATCCTTGTTTCCGGGGCGGGTGCGGGAGGGGCAAATGCATACACAGTCAGAGACGATGTGGGAGTGGCCCTCCAGGCTGCGCTTGGGGTAACCGTAGGCCTGCTCATCGCGGGTGAGGTTCCAGATGATCAGGGTCTTGTCGCGAGAGCCCGACAGCAGCATGTTGGGGCTAGAAGCGGAGTCGTTAGAATGAGATATTCAATGCGAAAAACTTGGACCAGATCTCTTACTTCTCCAGAGAGGTAGCCAGGGAAGTAACCCAGCCATTGTGGCCCTCGAGGGTGCCGCGAAGAACCAGCTGCTCAGCCATTATGGGAGTAGACGATGAAGGTGAGAGGATGGGGAGGTCGTTGACGCTGGGGAGATAAAATCGCAGAGGGAAGGATGGGACTGCTGCGTGCCCGCCCAAGCCCTAACCCGGTTGGCTGGCTCCTTGTGTGGTTCCGCTGTGCCCTAACTATAAGCGAAGATCACGTGGAAGTGGAAGTGGAAGTGGAAGTGGAAGCTAACACTTGCTTAGTCATGGTTCATGTATTCCATTGTATTGGATCCACTATCTATATGGAGTACCAGACAATGGGATGCAATTGAATATATGGAGCTGATCGAAGATTATTCTGTCGAAAACCCACAGTCAGTTCACGTTGGAATAATATTCCCATTACATATAACCTTGGAATACTAGTAGGACTCAAATCACATCTAGAACTTGAATATACAAATGGCTCGTTTTATTAACGAAAACAACTACCTAATAATAACAACTATAATATACAGAATGGCCATATCTCCACCACTGGCACTGATCATCTAGTTAAATACCTGCACATTCGGCATACGGCCCAATCCACCGCCAGTCTTCTTACTCTTCGCCGACTCAAAGCCAGTCGCACTCTTATCACGGACATGCTCCCGCAGCAACTCCAGTACCTTCGATCCCTTCCAGCGCATGGGAACAGGGCGATATGCGGCCCTGAACGCTCCAATAGTCTGCGCCCACTCGCCGCTCTTGGCACCGGTCTCCTTCCAGGTCTCGGTCAATGTGTCTTCGGATGGCCGGGGGTCAGCTCCGGGCTCATCGGCAGGCGGGTCCTGAGTTGCCCAGTAGTAGATATCCCAGTCGTTCTCATCCAGGAAGCTATCGTACTCCTGCAGCTGTTCCGCGTCCATGGTACGCAGGTAGGCGTCGGCGAATGTAGACAGGAGCAAGTCAGACTCGAGGATACCGCGCTTCCGGCTCTGGTCTAGATTTTCACAATGGCGTTAGCTGAAAGCTTCACTTGGAGATGTTGCTATTCAGCAAAGATATCAACGACAACTCACATAGCAGGCGTGCTCTCTTGGTGGTAACGTCCTCCCCAACTCTCTTCAGCGGCTCAACCTTGAAGGTGATACCCTCCATCTCTCCGACTCCCAGCTCGGGCTTCTGCGCACCCTGGTCCTGACGGCCGCCGGTGAAGTGCTCGATCTTGCCGGGATATGGATCAGCTGGGCGATAGTTCGGGTCGACCGAGTTCAGCATCTCGGGCGGCGCGGGCCGGGATCCAACGCTAGGGGAAGTCATTGGTCATTGTGGAAGTCGTATTGGGAACGACCGGATTGGGGGTCTTCTTGGTTTGGGCATCACGGTGTCCCTGGGCAGTCGAGGGAGCCCGGTCGTTGACATCGGGATCCTTGAAACGCAGAGCCGATGTGCCGAATGAACGATTGATGGCCTTCAAGGTGTAGGATGGCGCGGGGCGCATGACGCGCTGAATAAATCTCGGGGCAGACATTATGCTCGTCCGTCTTCAGCTTCTGCAGTTGTTGGAGACTTGCTGAAAGGGATAGCAAGTTGAGGAGCTGCAATGCTAACTTGACATCATCCGAAGTAATGTCCCGAAAATGTACCTGCAACACCCGGGTCTCCGATGTTTGCACGGTTTGCATTGTCCCTCTCCACTCAGCCGCGGCGCATTATATAGCCGGGATCCAGTGGACAGCAAGACTACTCGTTACCAAGCCATTGCTTTCAAGTAAGTTGAGTTGATGGGATGCTCTCTATGATGCTACTGCATAAGGGAGCATAGGGCCCATGGTTGACTACATTTAGGGACGCCCCATGTTACATAACTTGAATCAATGATACTTCCCAGATTTGTATACATGTGATGTACTCCGTAGTGATAATGAGCAAATAAATGATTAATACCTGCGCAAGCAGGGCGTGTATTTTATATCATTGAGGTCATGACTGTTGCAACAGAATGCCATACGACATGAGAGAGTAAACAGGGAGATGATGGAGCAGGACTCCCCCAGAAAGAGCTGCAGCGCAGATCCAAGATAGCAGCAAAACAAAGAAGAAAAAAACATAACACTCCAGAATGCAACCCATCCACCCCATACACAGCAGCGGCTTTAGATAAGGTGCTTGGAGCGGAAATAAGCCCGCAGGTAGACAACCTGCCACGCACCCAGACCAACCAGCATACCCATGGTGCCGAAGGCGAACCACTTCACGCGCTCGTTGGTGCTCTCGTTGGTGTCACGCAGGCGCTGCTCACGGGAGCGGAGGTAGTCCATCTCGCTGACAATCTCGGTGACCATCTCCTCGATACGGCGGAGGTCGGTCTCGATGGGCTTGAGCTTCTCCTGGGCCTGGATGCTGGACCAGTCGCGGGCGTCGGCGCCGATTTCAACGTCGAGTTCGATTTCGCGGGATGGATTGCTAACAGCGTCTATTTAAGGGAAATTGGGTTAGGTCTGTTCGTTCAAGTGCGCGGCTATTGGATGATTGCCGACACGTTCGCATCCACGTCCTTGGTGAAACTTACTGCGGCCGAAAAGCTGGTTCTCAAGGCACACGTCGAAGGCAGTGTCCGCGGTCGAGGTGAAAGCCTGACGGACTTCGCCAACGATATCCTTAGGCCGACCGTGGTCATTGCCCATAGAATCCTTAATCTGTATGTTGAAGAGTGGGCCGTTAGCAATCAATCGTCTTGTCTCATGTGCAAGGGCTGCCACCCTTGGTCGCTTCAAAGATGGAATTGAGATGACCGTGAAACCGGAGAAACATTGAACGTACGTGCATGTTGACGACCTGGCCGTCACCCTTGGAACCGCTGACGATAGCGGTCACCACGACCAACTGGTCCTTCGAGACGAAGTTGCGGATGCATCGCTCGTTCTTGCCGCCGTGGCCGGACTGAGCGGGCAGGTCAAATTTCAGGGCGGTTGCGATTTGTACCACAAGTAGGAAAAAGGCGAGGACGGACCTCATTGTGAATAGAGGGGAGCCCATGGTTTCTGGGGAACTGGTCGTGTCGGTAAACAGGAGAGCTGTTGATGCCACCTGGTAAGGGGGGCGGGATCAACGATATTCCGGGGAGATCCAGCGGAACTATAGACCACATCACACTTTACTTGTAACGACAGCTTAGAACCAAGTATCCTCGTGAATTGGGTTTGTTTCATAGTCGATATCAATAAAATCCAATACGCTATCAGCAATTTACTAGAATATTCGAAATATGGAGTAAAGAAAAGAAATTGGTTTCGGAGTATCGAGGCTTAGTTAGATACTGGCACAAGTACATCAAACATGGTATCTCGCGAAGTTCACAGAAAAGTAACCAGGGATTTCCCAGTTACACATGGAAAATAATTGAAGAAGAAGAAGAGAAAACATAGAAAGAGAAGGAAACCGTATTAGTCGTTCAGTGTCACCTTCCAAAGAAGGTATTTTGAAGAGAAAGTGTCTTCTCGTGAAGAAGCGAAAGAAAGCCACCGGGTCATAACCGCAACATAGACAAAAATGAAAATGGTACCGCAAGGCACATAAAAACTCTATACAGATTATAGAGTTTCAAAACAACGAATATAGGTGGAAAGATGGATATGAAGAAAGGACATAGTCAAAACGATGGACATGAGATGTGGATCGTTAGGTGGAAAATTTCAAACGCTCAAAGCATGACATCGAAGGATTGGGGTGGGAATTGGAAACGCTTATACCTCGACCTTCTTGCGGCGCACGAAGAAGCGCGAGAAGGAATTGTCCTTCTTAGGTCGAGCTGGTGGCTCGGGTGGTCCAGTGTTCCGGAGGAAGTCCGCCAGGGCGCTGGTCTCGCTCTGCTTGTGCGAAGTGGATGGCATCGTACCGTGGTTGCGTTCCGAGCCAATCTTTTGGGTGTAGTTGGCTTGGGTGCTGCCGAGAGTGCTCTGCGAACGCATGGAACTCATGGACTTTTTGTTGGTGGGGCCCTTGTCGGTATTGGCACGCAGGAAACGAGACTTCAAGCCCGCCGAGCCATTGGAGCTTGACGAGGGTTGGGGGCCGCTCAGGTTGAAGGGCTGAGGCGCCTCTTCTCCCTGTGGAGGAGGTGGCGCGTTGCGGAGGAAATCCATTAAGCTTTCTTCTTGGCGTGGGGGCGGCTTAGCATTGATAAGCTCTTCGAGCATATCATCGTCGTCGTCATCGTCAATTGCATAGGGGTCTGGAACACGGCGCTGCTTCCGAACTGGCATCGGGTCATCTTGTTCCATAGGCTTGGCAGGCGGTGCTGCCTTTATCTGGGCATTACCACGGTTGGCAGATTCCAGCAGACCTGTCCGCGAGCCCAGAGAAGTCATTGACTTATTAGGCGTGGAGGTGGTCACAGAGCTGTGAGTAGCCGTATCCTTCTCGTTTTGAACAGGTTCGTACTGCAGGTCCTCGGAATCAATCGTGTTCCTGAACGGCGCAACTGTTCGGGGAATGCGGTGTGCACCAGGTTGAGGGGGACCCTCGCGAATGAAATCAATCAGCTCTGATGTTTGTGAACGCTTGGTCTCAGCGGGTGCGCGTGCCTGGGGGCGGGCGTTGCGAGTTGATTGGCGAGACTTGTTGGACTTGTTGGTATTGTATGTACTATGGGTATTGTTGGTACTGGCGGAGATAGTAGACTGGCGCCGAGAAGACCTCGTCCCATTGGTAGGGGTCGGGCTGCCTGGGTGCGAAGACGTGGGAGTGGCAGGTCCAGTTGACTTGATAAACTCGGCAATTTCACGAGTGGAATCGCGAGTAGGGCGAGCATCCCTAGCGCTGCCTGTCGACACGGGAGACTTTGGTGGAGCTGGCATGCGAGAGGAAATGGGAATGAACTTGGGGGAATCAGCGGACTTGGTGCGTCCGAGAGAGGTCAGGTCCCCGTTTGCGCGGGTGGAAAGAGAAGTCGGTGGTCGCGCATCTTCTCCTGGAGGAGCCGTGTTCTTCAAGAAATTAGCCAGGTCATGCGTATCGGCCGTGTCCGACCTAGGGATTGGTCGAGGCGGCTCGGGGAACTGGACAACTGGGTTAGTCGGTTTGCTAACAAAATTAGACCGAAATGAAAGGGAAGGGCTTACAGTCATCTCCCTCACACTCTTTGGTGTTAGCGTGAAGTGGATAGTCTCGTCGCTATTGATCAACTTGTCCAGGTCCGTGGTGTCGTTACCGTCAGAGTCCGCGCTACCAGAGGCCCGACTCGTGTCAGATGAGCTGCGAAGGCGGAGCGAAGGAGACTCGCCCGGCCGACCCATGAGTCGAGTGATCTTTCCTGATTTCTGGGATGTTGTAGAGCCCGCTGTAACTGGACGCTTCTCGCGCGAACTGCTGAAGCTCTCTGAGCGGCGGGACTTGGCTGGCTGAACGGTCGAAGAAATAGAATTGGAAGGTCGTGGAGGCATGCGTTGCACGGCTGCTCGCTCTGCGCCACTAGGAGAATTGCGATTGCTAGCCGTGACCACGAGCGGGCTAGGTCTGTGGCGTGTACGGGATTTCTGGGAGTGTTGGCTGTCGCCCGAAGCGGAGGTAGGACGAGAATTATTGGGTTCTAGCGCGGCGACACTTTGTAGAGGCTTTTCGGAGACGGCATCGTTTTCATTCAAAGGAACACTCTGCGACGGGGATGCCATAGCCGATTTATCGTGATCGTGCTCGACGGGATTTTCATCATCGGGAGTATTGATAGCCTCGATCGTGGCGCCAGGTGGTGCGGATGTGGCTTCTGCCCCTTGCGTGGTGGGCTTTTTCTCCGCGATAGGTTGAACGTCTGAGTCGCTAGTTTCTGCAGTGATCGCCTTTGCATTAATCTGAGAAGTGGCATCCCTGCTGGGTTTCCTCCTTGGGCGTTGGATCGTCGCCGCTGGCTTAGGCTTCTCGCACATTCCCCGTCCTTCGATAATCTCCGGATTCTTGGTTGGTTCCTCATCAAGGGATGAGACGGAGACTCGAGCGCTATTCGACTGATCGGTCTCGTCGTTGGCGCTAGAGCGCAAGGAAGCAATGGTTTCATTCACGGGCGGACCCCGTTCAGCTTGATCTTCATCTTCTTCCCGCACAATGGGCATTCGCGCATCTTCTAAGCTCTCCGCTTCTGTAGGCTCATTGATAGGTGTTGTGATCGCAATTCCAGGGGCAGTCTCTGCAGCATCGACGAACTCGGCGGATTCGTCATCTTCGTACATGGTTTCGAGCTGCTTGCTCTTTTCCGAGGCGCTCGGGGATGGAGCATTTTCATCTGCAGGTTCCGACTTGGCCTCGCGTGGTGGTGGGCTGGCCGCCGCATTTGGCAATGACCTTGAGCGGGCATGACGAACCACCTTTGGGTCGTCAATTGCGGAGGCACTCACGGGAGAATCCCTTGCGCCAGGCGACTTTGGCGCGAACGATGGCGATGTGAAAACCATCAAGCTACGTGGTCGCACCTTGTGCGCGACAACGGCCTGCATCGTCTGCACCTCGCCTTCCAACTCATGCGAGAATCCGGGAACCTCGATCTCCTTGACATCGTGATCGCCTATTGGCAAGGGATGTCGGCGGGGTCGGCTGGCTCGACGGGCTCGACGGGCGCTGACTCCGCCTCAGGAAGCGGCTCCTTGGGAGTGACAGGCTCCTCGATGGTCGCAATACTGCTCTTGCGGCTTCCCGCTAGAGTCGAGTAACCTCGACGGCGGAAGGACTCACGAGAAAGAGTTCGCGAAAGGGTGGTGTTGCGTCTGCGCTTTCGCCAAGTCCGCCACAACCGCCCCAGAGTCGCGTTCAACGCCAATTTTTCCATGTCAAGATCCTCCACCACTAACCGATCGATTCGCTTACGTTCCTCCTCCAGGTCGATCGATTCACTGCCGCCGTCATTCAGCTTTGCCGACAGCCGGGAGCGCGCCGTCTCACCAGCAATCACCAAGGCGCGCTCGCCAATGTGCTCGATGATCGAAGTGAGAAAAATGGCCGCGGCGGGTGTGATGTTATCGACATGACTGGAGAAACGACGGGGCGCGCCGTCGCACTCCCCAAGGCCATCTTGCGCAATATATTCATCCTCATCCTCCTCTTCCATGTCACCCAAACGAGTGTATACCATGCATCGAAGACGGGTCAATTTCCACGAGCGCACCAGATCGAAGTCGCCGCCGGGTTCCTGACCACCACGGAATTCCGTCTTCTCGTCATCGACACCCCCCATATATTCGCTCAATTCCTCATCGGCGGTGTCCACGACCTCGGAAGCAAGACGAGGCTTCAGGACGTCGGAGACCGCTGGGCGGATACATGAGAGCTGGGTAGATTTGGAAGCGGCCAGGACATTGAAGAGCAGGTTGTCGAGGAAGCCGTTCAGTAGTGAAAGGGCAGCTGGTGTAACCAGGGCCGCGGGCCGGAGCCCGTCTCGTCGTCCTCGGGGACAAAATCGGCGGCATTAAATTCTTGATCGGAGTCGATAATTTCCGAAGCAGCGGAGGAGGAGATAAAAGCAGGTGGAGGGTGTACGGAGGGGGGAGACATGAGGTTCACTCGAACGTGCGAGTCGCTGGAGAGGGAGGTGCTTCGAGAACGGGACAAAGTCCCGGCTTCCAGGAGATCGGATCCTTTGTAGGGTTGCATGGTTGATCACTAGTGGACCGTGGACCAGGATGTGTCTCCAGAGTGTCTGTTCTCGAGCGCAGTGCTGGGAATGGACTGGCTCGGACTAAAATTCAAATCTCTTGAATCATCCTGTACTCCCCGTCAGCTTGTATATTCCAGGTATCTTGCCTGTATTCTTTGATTTCTGCATCATCTGCATTGACTGCATTCACTGCCTATCTTTGGTGAAATTGCGCGCCCGGGGGAAGTGGAGGGACGCCACGGCCCCCAGCTTCAATGCAGAAGAAGAAAAGAAAAAGAAAAAGAAATTCCCCAAAAACGTACCCGTTAAAGAATGGAAGGCGAAAAGGTCATGCTGTTGAGGAACAATCAAAGAGGGACAGGACAGCAAAGGGAAGAAAAAGAAGAGAGAGAGAGACAGGAGTCGAAATTAGTATTGTTCGACTCTCCGAAAAAGGAGTGGGGACCAGCTTGAATCATTCGGGGGAGACTACCGAATGGTTAATACTAGGAGAAGTTAATGGAGTCGTCTTTATTTGACTTTACGGGTGTTTACTGTACAGTATTGATCGATCAGTTGAAGTATAGGCTTATACAGGTATCTACGGAGTATACTACCACGGAGTACGGATACATGGATATGATATACTACATGAAGTATACAGATACAAGTAACAAGATCTACTGGACACTTCCAACCTTGGTATGAGTACCATCCCCTCCCCTCTCCCATCCACCTCGTATGTGTTCCTCTCCTCCTATCTGTACCTGGCGTAACCACGGGTCATCAGCTCCTCCGCCTATCGCATTGAAGAAACCAGGGGCAGGGGGCTACGAACAACAAGACTGTTCCATCGATCGACGGGCTCCAACGAGGACGCTAGTGACTGAGTGAATCCATCGCATCCACTCCAGAAACCCAATCATCTCCTCGTGGGGACCACTTTAGCCTTTCTCACTTGGGCCCCAACCCACACGCATTATTGGAATTGTTCCCGACGCTGATGCTTCCTGCAGGACCCCTGTTCCTCGGAGTGCATTTTAATCTCTCGCTTGTTCCAAACCTTCCACGGCCCTTCGTGGCCCTCTCCACTGGATTCCGTCGTTGTTCACTTGCCTTGGGGGACGCCGGTCCCAGGACGCTCCTCAATGGTCGCTGCCCACGGCACATCTCGATAGTCTCTGGAAGGTCTCCACCAAAGATGGGACCATCTTCAACCAGTCATCGTTGTCCTCGGCCCTCCCCTCAGCCGCGACCATTCATCTGCTGGCCTTGTTCCATGGGGCTACCGACAGGTCGTGGGGGACGCCCACGAGGTGCCCCAATTATGCAAGGAATCCCAAATCCCCTCGACGCCCGATGAGGGCGCCTGCAGTAGCCGTTTTACAGCAGTTGCAGAATATCGCCCCCAAGGAATCAGGCCTCGGGGCCGGTCTTTCAGCCCCGATGGTCTGGGAGAGCGTTGCCCTAATACAATTTCACAATTCAAGACCACAATTATCGTTTCCTTTTCCTTCCGACCTGACCACCTTTTTTTAGGGTGTTTTTTGGTCTTTGTTCTCCCCCTCTCTCTTCCCACCGATTAAAGCCGGAACAATGGGATTCCTAGCTTTCCCCATGTGACAAATCACTCGACTGGAATTTCGGATTCGGTCAACTTCTCTCCGGTGTCGATCGATAGAATACACATATCCATTGTCTCCATCAGGAAGTCCAATCACTTGCGAGGCCGCCTGTCCGCTGGGGAATTTCCACTGTTCGGTTTTCGGGGAGAACACCCCCCCCACAGCGAATGAAAATCTCCGAACCGTACAACGACCGGTCGGTGGCGTGCTCTGATAGCTATGACCATTTTCAGGAACAATACTAGAATGTGTACTCCGTACTCCGCGCACTATTCATACAAAGTATCTATTTTTGTCCGTAAACTCCGTACTAGAGATATGATATAAGTTTCCCATGTTCTCCGTTCAAGGAGCGGTCAACGCCCCTGGCCAGAAATGTGTAGATCCCCATTTATGCTCCTCTACGGAGTAGAGTACATACGAGTATGTACGAGTATGCACATGCGAGTCGCGCATCATCTTCGTTTTCTTGCAGGTGGCTTTGCAGTTCCACGATCGACAGACCAGCGGGTCTCCTGGCGGTCCCTCGTGGCCCGTTTACTCCGCAACCTAGAGGTTGACGTGGAGTAGACTAGCTTCTAGTCGGTCGGTGATGCGCGCCGTAAGCGGGAATAGGGTTTTCTAATTCCTGGAAAATCCGTACACATGGTGGCCATACCGTGCTTATCCACAGAGTACGTACAATTTGACATATACTTGTACTCCGAGGTACTTGTATACGTACGAGGTATGCGGCATACGAACTTGAAGCCATCGTGTTGAGAATGCGCGAGCGGCATACATGGTATTTTTGAGGTGCATAGCTGCAGGCGTGCGATATATCAGATCTCATCACAATGCATTCATGTACTGATCCCCCGAGTGCCAATTCGTCGCCCCGCTCTTCCCAAAGCTTTGCCTGATTCACGTTGCAGCTCGAGCAATTGGCAATGTGACATATAACGTAGCAAAGGCATAATCGCAACGAGGTCATGACCATATATGTAGCTATCCGTGAAGTCTTAATCCGAGGCGGTTTAACCCCTACTCCGTCGCACGATCGCGAATACCCCCGCCCCGGAGGGCTGCTAAATGGACCACTCTTTTTGCTAAATGGACCATGGGAGCTTCTGAATCCAGAATAGTATGTAATCTCTATACAAATTTAGATATACTTAATCAATGTCTAGAGTAGTACTGCAAAAGTTTCTAACTGCCTATTGTCTACCATTAGTTACTGTCTTCTAATACCAGACTAGTACCTACCCGGGATACAGTATATTGGCTACTCTATTCCATCTCAGGTAGGTACTAGTCTGCTATAACTAGGAAGAAGACTAGAGAGGTCAACAAGGGACTAGAAAATTTCATAGCGCTATAGAGGTGGATTAAGTATATCCAAAGTTGTATGGAGATTACATACTAATCTGGATTCAGAAGGGCATATGGTCCATTTAGCAGCCCTCCCGCCCCACCGACAATGAAGGAAAGGAGAGGAAAGAAAGGAGATGAGGGGGAAAGTGATCGTCCATAAAATCCTGGTTCTGTTGAAGTTTCCACCGGCAATTCCCGCCCTGATAAGGAAACTCAAGTGGTCCACTCTTTGCTCGCTGTCATAAACTTGCCAATTCCTCAGGGCCCCACTAGCCAAGATTGCATAGACCTCGACGCGAAGTTCTTCAGCGCCGAGACTCTCCACTGAGAAAGGAGATAGCAAGAGGGGGGGATCACGATGCACACTTGTACTCGTACACTGAGGCCAAAGAAAGTTCAGTGAGTGCATGGTGCGTGCGTCAAAGCCCATATGCTGCATAAACCTTGAACAGCAAGACAGTTCATATCTGTACACCGCATTGTAGACACAGACACTCAGTTCATAGCACAGAACGAGGACCTCGAGAAAAAGGACCACCCGTGTACCTGTCTGTGCATTTCTGCGGCGTTACGATCGACACCGGCTAAACGGTGACTGGGGCCAACTTCTTCGTCCTACTTGACCTGTCAACCGCCCTGCAGCGCATCCAACTTGTCTCTGGGGTCGCACGAATGCCCTGCATGCGTACTATTGCAGGAGGAAGTCGTGATCCCAATCTTCATCGTCTGGTCGGACACCGATCATTTGGCTTTCCTGCTGTGTCCGATGAATTATTCGCTTCTAAGCTATTGTGTGGGCCTTGCTGGATACCTCAGGAGCAATTGTAGTCGATGATGTGGGCGGCGGCGTATGGGGTCGGAGATGTATGCAGTCGAGATCTTCTGCCATGTCGTGCCTCTTGCTCCACACTTCATTTTACTCGCCCTGACGACCAGCTGGTTTCTAGCCAGGTCGACAGGGCCAAGTCCTTTCTTTAGGTGTTTCTACAGAGTACTACGAATACATACACACAAAAACAAGTGATAAGGGTACCCTGTAAGCCATGCTCAGTTTACATATCATCTCTCCCCTCGATGACGATAGCTCCAAAAATGAAATGAGGAATACATACTTCGAATGCCGCCGCCCCTCAATCGTCAAAGCTCCCCTGAGTCCATCCCTACCGGCTATGGAAAGACCATGAGAAAATCTCCGAAGCCCCTCCCAGCGACCCGCAAGCCCCATTCCTACGTATGTGCTTTTTCCTATTCGACGGATATAGATTCCCAAATGTCCGGGGTCATTTCTGCGAGGGGCCCGTTAAACACGAGTCAGAGGCCCCTGCCATTGGGACTATCTTCACCTCATTCCACCCAGTCGGGTGGCTTTAAAGGCTTACGGTGGGGAGCGGGAGGAATCCTGAAACGGCCGATCCTGGCTGTCTCTTCCATTTTGGGTTTGATGCTCAAGACCGTTGGCCGTTTGGCTTTTGCTCTATCAACGTTGGCGTTATGCGAGGTTCTAGACCTTTGCTGGGGGGTCGCTTCTTTTGCATGTGCGTCCTGCCAAAGGAATGGTGATTTTGCTTTTGCTATATTTGTAATTTCCCTGTCTAGTTTAGTTGGCTTTTGGTTCTGGCGGACGGTTGGTTTCATAGTTGTCACAGGGTCTTAATTTCAGGCTCGGACTGCGTAAGCCTTACAGGGGTTAGGGCCAATTAGATCGGCATTGGATATCTAGCGGAAATTGTTTGAGTCTGAAGAAACATTGCCTTCAACAATCAAGGTAATAATTGTTAGTATTGGATGGACCTAGTAGATTGTCCTGAATACTTGAAGGTACTACAGTGTGTGAAGCTTGCCCGCAGTGGTGAGTTCCAACTTGAGGGTTCAATGAGGCGATTGGACCCTTGAGATATACTTACTACCTACTCCGTAGGTACCTTAACTTCAACCTTGGTACCAGTACCACAGTACCACAGGGCATAATACCTAGGTACTACTAACTAGTCGTAGAAACCGTATACTACCTAGTATTCGTACGAACTATAGTAGACCCCAGGTGTCCAAGTCATTCATCAAAAGTAGATCGACATACTGCGGGCAGCAAGTGATCTAATGCCCACAGACACCTCAGCAGACAGCCTGGGTGTCAAAATGCGAATGGTGTATACAGTAGATCGTATTGAGAGCCAGCCAAGAACCTTGTTGGAACTTCTACAGTTTATATTCCTGATCCCTGATGAAAAGAAGATGAAGTTAAAGAACCATGTGCATTTAATGCTAAATAGGACAAATTGCTTGTCCGTCGAGCTGACCGAATAATTCTCCTAGGGTTGAACCGTCCATGGGATACCAGTTTGTCTGTTATATCAGACGAAACTAAATCGCTATTTTGTTATTGTCGTGACATCGTGAATTGATTTTGATTTGGTTATGATGTTTCAGCTACTGTGAGTAACATCTGTTGTTTTGTTCTTTGGTGGTTGTTCGATCGAGTTTGCCGTTGACGCAGGCAAGTCCTGGGTTCCCAGAGCATGGGCAACGCCACCAGCAAGGAAACTCAACTCATCTGGGCTGATATCGACACGACCACTTGCCAACCTGCTCAGGAGCAGATGCTCGATCTTGTCAAGAAGGATGTGATGAGTACTCGCATATTTGTCCGAGGGAGCGATATCTGCCAACTGGTCGCATAGATCTTCGTTGCGCAGAGAGACTAGGCGATCAAGCTCATCCACTGCGAGGAGGTTGCGGAAAATGCCGATGACATGGGTGACGATTGAGTCGAGGTACATGCACGGGGGGTCGTCGGGGTGCATGGGCTCGGTTTCATGGCCCAGACGAATGCTGTCGACATGAAGACGAAGGTAGCTCTTGTATTTGTGATCGGCAATCCCATGGATACCATTAATCAATGCGACGAAGAGGTTGCGATCCAAATCAACACCGTCAAGAGTGTATTCCTCAGGATGATGGGTGCAATTCTGAATGAATTCTTTTTCATCGCAGGGGTCATCTGATATCTCGTCCGCATCGGACTGAACCAAAGAGCCCTGGGAGCCACCCGATTGCAAGGAAAGGAGCATCATTTCATGGACAGTCATTTGGGAATCCGAGCTTTCCTTTTCATCCTCGGTGTATTCTGGAGTATCAATGTACTGCACAGATGGGCTGAAATGAACAGCTGCTTCGAATCCGATGAAAGAAACGTCAAATGAATCAGTGTGGTCTTGACGAGTTTCAGGAACGTCTTGAGAAGTCTCTTCCCAGATAGAGAAATCAGACATGTCGTCATCCTCGTCTTCATCACTCTCGTCTTCGGAGAGAGCATCGTATTCGGAATCGATTTCATCTGAACCATAGCCAGATTCCGACTCCGAATCTGAATCGGTTTCACATTGCTCATCAGAGCGCGAGTTCTTGAGAATTGATTTCAAGAAGGGCCGAAGGTTAGGGCGCTCCGGCTTGATGGTGTAGGTAGTAGCGCTTGGCTGCAACGGCGCAGCGTTATTGGACGAGACCGATACTTCATCGGACCCATAGCAACTGTCTTGCGAGAATGAAACCTCGAGATTTGCAAACGTGGATGAAAGCGAGTCCCATGACTCCCGGTTGATGGTAGAAGTGGCCATGTTGGCGAACTTATGAAGATAATTGTTGAGTTTTGACACACCGCGATGCTCCTGTAGGGCCTGCAAAACAGAATCCTGATCTATGCTCGTGGGGAGCACACGGGAGTTGGTGTGAATGATTTATTCAAAGGTGTGGTTATTGGAATGGCGTCGGAAGCCTTCAGAACATGGAGAGAGATCCATGGTATGAAAACACAAGAGAAATCTTGCGATCCTTTAAGGACACTTGACGGGGACGAGCCCAGCCAGAATGATAAAGGGATACATTTCGTTTGTCTTGTAAAAATTTGAAGGTGTGGGGTTCGGGCGCTTTGATGCTTAAGACGAATCGGTAGAGATGTCAAGGGATCGGGTGGTTGATCAATATTTCTGTGCTGAGATGGAGGATAGTGGTCGATCACTCAGTACCCAGTCTGAGGCTTTTCGTGACGGCTGGGTGTTTGGTAAGATGAGTGGCGATGCCGAAGGTCAAGGGGTATCGGAAGCGCGATGGTGGGTTTCGTGACGCGATGAAAACGGCGGAATGTTAGGGGGGCCCGTGAGTATAGGCGTGGGCGTGTCACCGGAGAGCGCGATCGCAGTCGAACTGGCGATGGGCGAGACGAAGGAGATGAGGAGAAGAGGGGGAAAAATTGGAGTTGAGCCGAAGTGCCCACGTTCCGCGGGGTGATGGAGAGGGGTTTCCGAGTTGAGTCACACTTCGGATAACCGGGGGGGGGGGGGAGGGGGAGGGGAAATGGCCAGCGATGTAGGCAGCAGGCTGGCAAGATGATGAGTTGAAAGGATGCGGAACAAAGCAGGGAAAAGGAGAAGGGGAAAAAAGCAAGTGCGAATAATCCAGCACTGGGCACCTGACGGTTCAAAGAGGCCTTTCACTTTTCAAGTTCTTTGCCTCCGTCGCCTGACTTGGGCCTGCCCTCCGTCATTCTGACTCAGCCACTTTTCCCTTCGCTTCTCGCATTTGCCGACACAGACACATCTTACTGTACTCCTGTTGTATTACCAAGATTGACATATGGAGGTACTTCCATAGGCACAGAAGACACTAGATTATGCACCCGATCACTAGTGTCTTCTGCATTTATCATTTACCTCGGAATATTTACATATCACATTCGGGCATCGATCATTGCTCATTTCCAATCTACTGACCACATCACGTGAACGAGATATCACCGAGCAGAACTGCATGGAACGCCCAATGTGTTTGCAGGCCTCACAATACGTGGACTAATGCCATCTTATGGATGAATTTGAAACTTGGAAGTTGGGATGACAAGATTTCAAGAATCCACAAGTCATCCCGGCTCCTTGGGATATTTTTACCATGCACCCCAGCCCCCCATGCCCCAGGGCTCTAGATGCATTTCCAAATAATGCACCCCAAGATGGGCCTGACTCGGGCTGTTTTGGGTCATGAAGTACACCCAAGCCCTATGAGTGGCGCCCTCGTGATCTCGTCTTTTTTCCTTTGCCCCAAAGATGTGGTACCCCGGAGTACACCCATTGATGACCCTTCCTACTACGCTTGATAATTTTGGCCGTTCCTGGCTCAGCCAAACAAGGATCTCGACCGACTGAAAGAACACTCTCGTGGCTACATCCAACTGCCACTCCTCGACACAACAATAACTGGGTATGCGCCACTCGGACTCACCCTCATCGGTCGGACGCATTTGGCCAATGGTACCTTTCTGAATAAGAAAGGAACAACGAATGAGAACCATGCCACCTCTTTGAAACATCTCCATGACTGGCCAATTATTGCACGGCTCAACGGGTGATGTCTTTAATGCATGACTTAGAAGCGTGGCTTCGTGTATGCTTCGATGCATTTGATTAGGGCTAACACCTCCGCAATGTGGATAATAATAGAACGGAAAGAGTTCGAGAAGCTCCAACGGTGCTGCTGCCCGGCGATCTTCTACGGCCCGTTCATGCTATCCTCCATTGAGGAGTTCAATCGGCCGATCTGATTTCTCGAATGCCAAAGACCCTTCTGTACATTGTCGGAAGGGGCGGGAGTAGCATTCCGCTCGACCTCTGACATTCTCGACCCACATTCCAGTCCTCCGACACTTGAACATTGGATACGCACTTGCACGAACTCCACTATGAGAGGTAGTGACCCATGAGGGGAAAGAAAAGAAGAAAGAAAAGAGGACGGCTAAGCTGTTGTGGATCCTACCTTCCATCAGGTTAACCTAAGGATGATCGTGATGATTTGATATCGAGGGTCATGACGCCTACACTAGAGATGAGCCTGGCAGGTGATCCCTGTTCAACCAGTGAGATGGGGCGTATCCTATGCTCGGAGATCTTTTTTTTCACGGCTCTGTGGCCGTTCCGACCCAAACCCAGAGCTCCCCGAGGCCCATTGGGGTTATGCCGATCTCACTGTAAAGTGTTGATTTGGCATGTTGGCTAGCTATCCAACACTCCCCGCCACATTGACCTATTCAGTGACGCGATGCTTCGGGAATAGCGCGGCAAGGTTGCATTATCTACAGTGGCTGTCAATTGTGAAGCTTGCTGCGGGGGCTGGATACGTTTCCAGCGGATTTATTACCCTTCAGGCTTTTAGTTTGTCTGATTGGCTCCATGCGGATCAAACAGTCTTGTATCATTCCTTTAGAGGACGGTGGAGTCGTTAAGCAGCCAACCGGGTTGTTCTTCAAACATTCCTCGAGGATCTGGGGATCTGCTTGGAATGTATGCAGAAAATCTGAGGCTGGAGCTGTCGACGGCCATTCAAATAGTCGCCTCGATCTGTTTGTTTGCTTTGCTTTCTTTGCATACTCTGCATTGTTTTCTTTGATTGACAAACTGTCAAACATCTCTCTCCCCCTCTCTCCAATATTTGCATCCTTTTGGCATATTTGCATATTTGCATTGCTAATTTGCATCCACTGCAAACTGCACCCCCCACAAGTCCTCAAAGACTTTCTTTATCCTTTGGTCACCAATCACAGTGGACCATCGGCTCTCCGGGTGTTCGACCTTTGACTCAACCACAACCACCTCGCCGCAAACGGAAAACAAAGCAAGATGTTCGCCCAACCATTCGATCATTCTTGCAATGATTTATTCAACCAATACGTCAATATGGATCCCTCTGGTCCCGATAGCAACAAAGACCTATCGTTGTCCAGCGACCTTGACCAGCTCTTTCCCCTAGACTCATTCTCGGACTGTGGCGATCACTCCCCCACCGACTCCACTTCTAAACGCCATCGTCAATCACCGCAACCTTGGACTCAGGATTGGTCCCTGCAAGACGACGGAACCTCTCTTGACCAGTTCGCTTTTCAAGACACTGTTCACCCTTCTGTTATCTCCGACTTTACTTTGAATAATTTCGAGGTTTCCTCCCCGTCGCGCTGCAGGAACCACAGGAATTTCATCTACCTCGCCTTCCACCCCGCCAGCTACTCCTCGGCGGAAGACGAACAAGAGTGCTCTGGTTACTCCCAAGTCTATTCGCCATCGTGACCCGAATGAGCGCCGGTCACTCCTGCGAAAGCAATCCTTCTCTCCTAGCATGATGCGCTCTTCGATTCAAAAAGGGAGAATCGCATACCCTGACGCCTGGGCTCAAAAGATCCAGAACCTCGATTTCACTGGTGCAGACGAGCGTCTCCCATTGTCGCCTCCGCCATCGGATGTCATAGTCAAGCACGAGAATATGACCGCCGACACCATGTCCCAACACCATGGCTTGCCAGAAATGCCTGGCCAATATGACTCCCGCCTCTTTCACCCTTCTCCTGCTGTCTCAATGCCCTCTCCCTCTGCCACTGCATTCGCACGACACCAGCAAAAATACATGAACCACCCCGGCTCCTCGGCCTTGACCAATTCCAGTCCTCCCTCCGCAGATGACATCTTCTCTTCATCGCATTCATCCGATCCTCAATCGATTTCCTCGTGGCAGTCTGATGCCCTTGGCACTTCTTCACTCTCTTTCACCCCCAATCTCCAAGCCCAAGATGCCTCTTGGTGGTCCCCTATGCCCTCCAGAGTCGCGCAGCAGCAGCAGCAGCAGACTCCTTACCAGCCTATGGTCACATCCCCTGCACCCCAGCGCTCCATGCAAAGCGTCGGCAGTCAAAATGACATGATGCAAGGTGGTTTGATGATCCAACTCGACCCGTCGTTTGACATGTCCGGCGATTCTTCCTTCTCCTCCAATGTGGCCTCAAACTCTCAGAAATTCGTTACTCCCTTCGCCCCTCAGCAAGTCCACACCTCCCGTTCCCCGTCTCTCTCCCCGCGGGCCGGTACATCACCAAAGAACAAGGGACACCGTCGCACACACAGCCGGAAGCTTTCAGGCCAGAGCATGAACGGTCCCAAGATGGCAAAGCCCTCCACCAGCCCCCGTGGGGCAAACAAATCCGTGAACGTCTCCTTTGTGAACTTCACAGCTAATGATAGCCACCGAATTCTCGGCGGTGTCGCACCTTCTGGCAGCTCCAAGACAAAAGCACGACGGGAGCAAGAAGCCAAGGACCGACGACGCAAACTGAGTGAGGCGGCTCTTCGCGCCGTGCGTAATGCCGGTGGCGATGTTGATGCTTTGGAAGCTGTATTTTGCTGAAGCACATTCTATTCTGCTTCTTGATTTGATTTTTGCGTGTTAATTATCTGACGTTATAGCCGGTGTTTTTGTTTGTTATTACTATATCATGGGGAATATCTGGATTGGTCGTTCTGGCGCTTTGATTTCTGTTTTTCCATCTTTGGTTTCAGTTTCCCCCCAAAATTCTGTATACTTCTAATGTCTAGACATATATCTACCAATGTCTAATATCATCACATCTTCTGTGAATTTCATATCCTCTCGTTCATTGTAGCCTCAAGTTTGTGATTTCTAAACAATTATGCCTCTCCGGGTATAGTCCGCTGCTATCCGCAGATCTGCGGATAGCAGATCTCCCGGGCCGTTTGTGCCGCAGCACGTGATTCCTTTACAGTTTCTAATTACAACGTCAAGTTTCTCAAGAGAATCTTCTCTCTTTAATCTCTTTCCTCTCTACACTCTACATCCCGACTTTTCGATCATGCCCCAACCTTGGAAGCTCCAAGGTTGCTCACGTGTGTACCCTCCTTGAACTAAATATCATGTCCTTCCTTCAATCTGATATACTCTAGGGCTGGGCATCAACATGCGAATTTTCATTTACAACGGCTGAATAGTCGAGTTGGACAAGGTAGTTCTTACCATCAACATGTCCTAGCGGATGCTCCTCTGAAACTATCCACCTGGTTCAAGACATTCCAATACCCGGCGTACCTATGACGACCGCATTTCAATTTTCGTTTATTCTCAGGCTTTCTGGGAGTTCCCACTCTATTTCTGTGTTTGCAATGTCATTTGGCCAGACTATATCTGTCGGGGTTTTCTCTGGCACATATGTTATGGCTTAAGTGGTATTTCAACAGACTATAGCTAGTGGCCGTTTTTACGACCTCACGGATCTACGACTTCACGACCATAATGATTTCGAATCATTTCCATTCATGAGTACCTCAACTCCAGTCAGAATCTCAGAACCTCGGACTGAACACCTCGGACTAAATTCCGGATCATTTCCATTGATGCTAGTGGGTTCTCTGAGTCCAACTCCAGCCAGAACCTCAGCCGAAATTCGACCCTGAACACCTTGAACTCGCACGTGGCCCTGGATCCTGCGAGCTGCGAGCTGCGCGCCGGCCTAAATTTCGACTATTTAAGCCAGTCTTCCGGGAAATCAATCTCTCCTTTAGATTCTCCCCCATCACCATACCTTTTTCTTATGCTGATCACGACTTATCTGTACCACGACTACGCTATGTAAGTGCACTAACACCTTCTGCTATTGCTGATTCCCATCTCTTTGCATTCCCACGATTACCAATATCCCACTTTGTTACTCCTCACTATCATTTTGATTTCTCTCACTCTTGCCATCAATCTCGCCTCTAATCTTATCATGCACTCTCGATCAGCTTCAGCCTGATATCCCATACGTTGGTCCATGCGAACATCGTGACAACTGGTCGGTCTCCCCTCACCTTTTGTCCTTTGATTTGCTGCCACTGTTTGCCCCGTTGTATCGTTTGCTTGCTATTATATTCCCCTCGAGGCTTCAATTTCACCTTCACCTTCACCCCTCCACCACCTTCATCTCTGGAAACTACCTTTCACTTTGTGCGTCTTTGTAACGGGAATCCAACTCTGCTGGAGCCTTCGTTTACTGAGTGTCCGTGCAAGTTGCCCACATAACCTTTTCCCACTCTTATTCATCTGCGCATACTCAGCAGCCTCGGTATCACAATCCCGAAGTTTGTACCTTTCATGTCTGTTGCCACTGCTAACAAATTCTCAGCAACACGCTCCACAGATTTTCCTCCTTGCGAAAGCCAAGTTTCGTGCAAGGTGGATTTCTTCAACCTCATTCTCAATCACAGACAGGTCTCTCGCTCATAGAGAGCCGTTTCTACCCCCTCCTCTCCCTCCTTCGAACCCCACCTCTTCTCCTTCTCCCCTCCTCCCATTCAGACTCATATCTCCGAGTCTCTATCTCTCTCTTCCACCCGACACAACCAAAAAGAAAAACAGTACGAACGAAAAGATGTCTTCCCGTGATTCAAATCGTGGCCGTGGAGATTCCCGCGGCGGCCGACGCGACTCAGTGACTGGCTCACGACCCTCGACTCCAACCAGAGAAGGTTCCCGACCCACTACGCCTACTGGCGCTGGCGATGCTCCTCCTCGATCTCGCAGCCCGCAGAGATCTCCAAGCCCCGAACGAAGCGGGCGAGGCGGAAGTTCCGCGAGGGGACAATCGTCAGGCCCTCCTCGGGGTGGCCCTCAACAGCGTGGTGGCTCCCAGTCTCGTGGTGGTGCCCAGCAGCATGGTGGCTCTGGAGGCCCTCGTCTGGAGTATCAAAGTACCCCGACTGTCAAGGCAGACAGACAGTAAGTTGAAGAGTCCCTTTTGCATGAAAAATCACTGACTGTTTCCATTTAGGGTGATGTTCAATGCTTCGCCTCCCGACAAGCAGATAGCGGACTTCGAGAAGAAGTCCTTGGAATCCAAGAAGAACATCAAGCAGGAGCCCCAGCGAGATCTCCGAGACAAAAAGACCAAGGCAGAGAGGGGCCAATTGCCCATTCATGTCGATTTGGTTCGCCGTCCCGGTTATGGCACCAAGGGGAAATCGACCAACGTCCGCGCCAACTTTTTCGCAATGATCTTCAAGCCAGATGCAAAGTTTTACGCATACAGCGTGAATATCGTTCCGGAGCCCACTCACAAGCGTCATATCCGACAGATCTTCAAGCAACTCGTGCTTAGATGTCCTGAAATCAAGGACTGCCTGCCTGCGACAGACGAGGCTCAGTGGATCGTGACCTGCAAGCCGATCCCCTTCGAGGAGACGACCGTCAGATGTGATCCTACCAAATGTGATCCTGGGGAAAAGGAATGGGCTTACACTTACACCGTTTCCTTCACTCTACAGGACAAGAAACCCATTCCCTTGAAGGGTCTACTTGATGGGCTTGCAAACCCCGACATCCATGAGAAAGTCACAGACGAGGACTATGTTGTTCAGCTTCTGAACATTTTCATGACAAGCTTCGCTTACGGTGACCCGGGCGTCACAAATGTTGGCAAGGGTCGACTCAAGTTTTTCTACACCGATAATCGCCAAGAAAGCATGAACCTGACTGGTGGACTTGAAGTTCTCCGCGGCGTCATCTCAAGTGTGCGCCCAGCTGCGAAACAAATTTTGCTAAACCTCGGTGTCAGCAATGGTGCTTTCTACCAGCATATGAATTTGGGCCTCTACATCGAGGAGGTTCTTCGAGCAAACTTCAATGATCTCGAAACTGTCAACCGGTATCTTCGCACTGTAAAGATCGAACTCAGACATTCGCCTAAGATCTACGATGATGATTGCAAACAAATTTACCGCGTCGGCAGTGTTTGGGGATTGGCAAGCAAGGAAGATGAAACAAAATACGTTCCCAACAAAGACAGCAAAGACAAAAAGGATCACAAGCCTCCCCAAGTCAAATCGTTTGGCGCCGGTCCAGATGACGTGCGATTCTGGTTAATCGAGGAAGGAAAACCTGGACGCTACGTGACCGTCACGGAGTTTTTCAAACAAAGTAAGTAAAATCAGGCACTGTGGCAGAAAACGCTAGGCTAACCCGTTCTACGCAGAATACGGTGTCATCTTAAAGGACAAGAAGAAACCAGTGGTCAATATCGGGAACCATCAACGGGCTGTCTACATTCCATCCGAGAGCGCCTGGATCAAGAAAGGGCATGTTTTCAACGGCGAGCTGTCTACTGCGCAACGACAGAATATCATCAAGTTCAGCTGTCGCCAACCACCGGACAACTTTGAGACCATCCGAACCCTTGGCCGAGGCATTATGGGAATGTCCGGTAACTACTTCCGCGACAGACAAATCAAATTCTCCGACGAGATGCTTGTAGTTCCTGCAAGGGTTCTTGATGCCCCGGTACTGAAGTATGGAACTCGTACGGAAAAGCCCCAGAGGGGTGCCTGGAATCTTGTGGGAAAACAGTTTTCTACAGGTGTCAGTATCGAAACCTGGGTTGTCTTGTGGATCAAGGCCGGTGTCACCAGAACTACACCTGATCAAGTCCAGACTGCGGTTGAAGGCTTCCGCAAAAAGATGGCTGAAATGGGCATGCGAGTCGCACAACGCCCCAGTCTCGAGTCCATTGATATCAAGGGTCCCATCAAAGACCAGTGCGAGGCACTCCAGGCGAGACTCATCAGTTTGTCAGCGAAAAACCCACACCTCCTGTTGGTTGTGCTTCCCACAGGACAGGACCGGATTTTCCGCTTCGTCAAATGGGCCGCTGATTGTAAACTGGGCATTCCAAATCACTGCGTCCTCGTCGACAAGTTTGCTAAGGGAAATCCTCAGTACATGGCCAACAATGCGCTGAAGGTTAACCTGAAACTCGGTGGTGTCAATCACATCCTTGACCCTCCTGCCTCTGGATTACTGGCCCAGGGAAAACTATGGTTGTCGGAATTGACGCAACTCATCCATCTGCTACTGACTGTGACGGCTTCCCAACAGTCGCTGCCATTGTTGCTAGCATAGACGGTCGACTTGGCCAATGGGCAGGAGCAAGCCGCATCCAGACTTCCAAGAAGGAGATTCTTGAGAATCTGCAGGATATGATGGTCGATCGTCTTCACCGCTGGCAAAAGGTCAACAAGACATTGCCGACAAGTATCCTTGTCTACCGTGATGGTGTGAGTGAAGGTCAATACAACGACGTGATGACAGCGGAGATGTCATCGATTCGTGACGCCATCAAGAGAGTCTACCAAGGCTCTTCACCGAAAATCACCTTCATCATAGTCACAAAGCGCCATCACGTTCGCTTCTACCCAACCAGTTCAGAAGGCTGCGATGACAAGAACAACTGCAAAAATGGCACCATCATTGATCGAGTTGTGACACGCCCGTGGTACTACGATTTCTATCTCCAGGCACAGGCTCCCCTCCAAGGTTCGGCCCGCCCAGCTCATTACGTGGTACTTCATGACGAGATCTTCGCTCCGACTTCGCGTACCGCGGCCGATGATCTACAGCAGCTCACACACAATATCTGCTACATGATGGCTCGCTGCACTCGCTCTATCAGCTACGCCACCCCGGCATTCCTTGCTGATCGCTACTGTGACCGTGCGCGAAAGCACGTTGTTGCTTACTACGAATGGAAGGAGGCACAGAATCCCTTTTCAAAGCGAGCCTCACACAAACCTTCCCAGTCCGATGTCATGATCAATTCTCGTCTTGCAGAGACCATGGTTTACATTTGAAGCCATTGATTGATTTGTTGATTCCGTTCGGGCAATTATGACGTGAAAAAGGTTGTCTTATGGCTTTATTTGATTTTATGTTCTGACAACGAGGCGGGAGGGGTGCAAAGGAAAAGGAGAAAAGGGGAAAAAAGAAAAAGGAGAAAAAAATTGTTATGTTGTTGTGTCTTCTCTTTGATTTCACCATGTTCGTTTCGATTTCACGTTCATACAGGGGAGATGGGAAGGGGCAAAAAGAACAGAGAAAAAGAGAAAAAAAAGAGAGAGAGAAAAGTTGCGGTGACTCCCCTTTGATTTTATGTTCTGGCTTTTGTCTTTTCAAATAAAACACCAAAAAAAAGGGCTTTCGGGCTATTCAAAACCAATTTCTACTAGTAGTATGCTTTTCTCGTATAGAATCCGCGGGACAAGCAGTAACAAACTTGAAGTAGTATGCCGTTGACTTCCAAGTTCGTACTAGTACTAGTACTAGGTTCGATGTTTGTTTAAAGCATCGGGATATGTAGGTGTGATTGAGGTCGAGGGTAATGGGTAATTCATGAAAGGTGTATAGTATTTTACAAGAGCTAGTTTACGAGAAGCTGACTCGGCCTGAATAAATAGAGGAGATAGCGATTTCGTGGGTAATCAAATCAGCCAAATTCGGTGACCAGGGCACGCTGGTCTCCAGGGAGCGGGGGGTTATCATCATGAATCGATGCCGAATTGAAACAACGTAACAAGGTATGCGTGCTGTCAACAACGGGCTCTCGTCATCGGTATCCTTCGTATCGTGCAGTCTAATCGAGAAATGGTGAGAGAGATTGACTGTTGCACTTCGACCGCAACTAGGCATTCTTCCTGTGTCCCGGGGTATATATCTTAACCGATAAAATTATGTTCCAGACCGTCCGGATTAATATTTCATCGCTTGGAATTCGGCGACCAGTCGGATGGCTGCCAGCTGTCGCCGGGGTTGCTACGGTCCGCCTTGGCCCATGGGTTCGCTTCCTTTGGGGGTGTTGATTCCGAAGTCGACTCGGGCAGTGAAGGTGTCGCATTTTGTGTGGAATGGGGGAGATTTTGGGACTTCAGGCTCCCAGAGCCGTCGCCGACTGAAGGGATCGAGTTTTGGGGCTGGGGCTTGTCGAGATAGGACGGTTTGCTGGCCCAGCGTTCGTCGGCGAGTCGGGCGAGTTGCTTAATTTGGAGTTGTCGAACAACGTCTTGTTGCTGTTCTTCAACGGTTGGGGGATTTTCGCGTACATATCGGAGCCATTGATGCCATTGTGCTATTCGCGTATGAGCGTGTTAGTGACATTGTCGTCAAGGATCTGCCCAAATCAAAGCTCCGGTCAGGCGAATCGCCGAGGATAGGGTTCCCTCCACCTGCATAGCACTTACGGGTAACTTGCACATCACTTAGATGAATCTTGGGGTCCGGCTTCAGCATTCTTCGCCAACGACTGGCATTTGGATCGTCTCTGTACTCCCAGAAAGTATTTCCGGCGAGATCCACGCCTGAGCGGCAAAAGTCAGTAAAACCGGGTGATATCCGACGAGGCTCGCAGAGACAGAGACAACTTTACCAGCAAGGCGGGATTTTCTCCAGGGGAGCTTGAGACTCTTCCACTGGAACCAGAGACTATTGACCATAATGGGATGGGGATGGGGTGGAAGAATTGAGGCGCAGGGAGAGAAGCGTGGAGAAAAAAAAGTGGTTCGCGGCGGATGAGCCAGAACGTCAGGAACGTCATCGGCCCCGAACATAAACAGCGCTCCATTCCATTCCACTCACTCACTTCCATCTTCCACCTTCCACCTTCCACCTTTCGTCTAATTTGCCCCCTTTACTCGCATATTCGCGAGTTTTTCGGAAAGCCCCTATTGTCTTTCACTGGAGGAAATCGTCTTGGTGCTTTTGCGCGCCCCCTCTGGATACCCAACTCCCCCACGGACCGGTGGCCGATCAGGCAGACTCGGGCAAAGGGATACTGCCACGCAATCAGGAACCACGGTGTTTTCTCCTCGCACTATTGCAAATCAACCTTGATCGTACTGCGATCACCAACCATCGATCATGGCTTCGGTTACCTCGCTGGACAAAGACTTGCGCAACATGCGCCTATCCCGCTATACCCCGCAGGCAGCCGCGGAGGTACGTGACTGGATCGAAGAGGTCCTGCGTGAGAAACTCCCTTCAAGTGATCTGTTAGAAGGCCTTAAGGATGGAGTGGCACTTTGCAAGTGAGTCTCCCGATTGTTATCCACCGTCTTCCGTCTTGTTCTGTGCTCGGTGCTAGCCGGCTAACCCCTTGACTACGAACCAGGTTAGTCAATTTGGCTGTATCACCGGGCGTGAAATATAAGCAGTCCTCAATGCCATTTGTTCAGATGGAGAATATCTCGCACTTCCTACGCGCGTGTCAAATGGCACCACTCGGCCTCCCCCCCGCACGATGTCTTTCTCACTGTCGATCTCTATGAAGCAAAGGATCCGGCGCAGGTCCTCCAGTGTCTGGCATCGTTTAGCCGCCGGGCTAATACCCTTCACCCAGGCATATTCCCGCGTTCGGTTGGCCCGCAAAGCAAACGTGGAGTGGTCAGTCCAAATGCGACGGGCTCCTCCAGCCAGGGGTCGTATACCCCACGAACCGGCCGTGCTTCCAGCAATGCCAGCGACGCCAATCCAAATAATCCCGGTCGAATGAGTCCTTCTAAGCCGTCTGGATCTTACAGCTCCTGGAGTAAGAAGAATGACCAGGGCTCCACGGCCCCCGCTTGGAACATTCACCAATATGGCTATATGGGTGGAGCCAGCCAAGGCAATCAAGGCATTGCATTTGGGTCTCGACGGCAAATTACTACCCCAAGCCCGGCTGTGCCGAGCTTAGCAGAAAAGGAAAAGTACAGACGTGAGGAAGATGAGAGAATTCGTCAAGAAACTGCGAGACAGGAAGAGGAACAACGAGCTCGCCAACGAGAGATCGAGGAGCAGGAAGCCCAGGCCAAGATTGAAGAAGAGCGCCGATGGAAGGAGCAGACAGAACGTTTGAGAGAAAAGGAACGCCTAGAAATGGAAGATGAGAAGAGACGGTGGGATGCAGAGAAGCGTCAGTGGGAGGAAGAAGAACAGCGACGGGTCGCGGAAGAGAAAGCAACCGAGGAGCGCCTCGAGCAAGACCGCCAACGCCGAAAGAGTGCTACCGATGCTCGTCTCAATGGACAATTCCTCAGTCAATACCAAGCGGGCCAGCCTGGTGCGGAGCTGGCAGTCGAAGAAACACCCGAGAGTCGGCGCATCAAGGAACTCGAACGCGAACTGGAGCTGGCCAAAGAAAGAGAGCGTCAGTATGAGACTGATCGATCGGGACTCCAAGTCCAAAAGAGTGGCAACGAATCTCGATCTCGTAGCGGTAGCCGTCAACGTCCCGTTCCAGTACCCCCCAAACCAAGCTACGACCTCTCCTCTCTTGAACAGGAACGCCGCATGCTACGCACGGAGTGGCAGAATACACAAGAAATGCCAGCAGCGCAGGAGCAACCAGAGGAGGTTGAAGAGCAAGCCCCGCCTCCACCTCGTCGACCACTCCCACAGCCAGGGCCTTCATCTCAGGCAGTGCCATCACTCCCACCTAGAGATCTACCGGCTGCCCCTCGTCCTCTTCCGGACCCGGTTGCATATTCCGCGAATCTTGGCCGAGAGAGTCGTGTCGATCGCTTCCTCTCCTCTAACCCAGCACCTCAGGCTGCTGCTCCATCCTCTCATAGACCTCAAGACTACAGCACAACATCAGAAGTCGACGCAGAGAACAGCCGCCGTATTGCGTCCCAGCAAAAGACCAAGGCCGGCGGCTGGGCATCGAAATCCCTGCTTGAGCGTGAAATGGAGCGCGAGCGCGAGCGCCAGCGTGAATGGGAAGAAAACCAAGAACATACCCAGGCTGCTGCGCGCGATAACACTATGGGCTCGGGGCCCGGTCAAACCTGGGACGTTCATCAATACGGGTACCTCGGCGGCGACAACCAGAACCGCGGTGGTGTTGGATTGGGCGTTGGGGGTGCCCGTCGTCAAATCATCGGACCTCGGCCTCCGCCATAAATGTTCATCTGGTAGATGAAATACGTCCCTATTCAACCTAGGATGGTAACTATTTTTTCCTCTTTCGATTCTCTTACCGTTGAGCCTGGCTCAACGTCGATTTTCATTCTTTGCGTCGGCGACCCGGTGGTTTATTTCTTGTGTTGCTATGATTCCCTTCCGGAAGTTTTTGTCTTGCAGATGTTTCTTTACTACTTTCTTCATACTTCAAGTGCGATTGTAGATAACATCTATTATATATCAATAATTGCAGCCATTTATCGAATGCAGTTCTTAAATTCTTAGTACTAGCAAGAGTCAGCCCTCCAGAGGGCTAGCGACCTCGGGAGTCACCCACCCACAGAGTAACACAAATTTTGCTGCTGCTGCCCTACTGGTACTATCATTGTACAGCTATTTGGAAGGAGAATGGTAGGACACGGAGTGCCATGATCTGCCCCTGCATATTATGTTTAAAAGATGTATCATAAATCGTTATTATCATAAGTATCGTCCTCGGCTACCCATCAGGTGATCGACTGCGCTTGCGACTGCAAAACTTCCATGAGGAAAAGCAATCTATCGCCACTCTCAATCAACCAGGACGTCTCAAGAGGCTCCTGGTCTTTCTTTGCCTGGCTCCGTCGTGCCTCCATCGCTGCTCTTTCGGCCCGCCTACCCAACCCAATCTGGACGGCATTCTCTAAGGAGGGCCGGAAGTGCAATAGCCCGTTTCCAGCTAGGAGCAGCATGAGCGCTTCGAGAATAATGGACACCTTGACGTTGTCGACAACACTGGCATTCGCGGCCGCGAAGGGAAGAAAGCATTCTTCCAACTTATCTTGATCTAGATAAGGTTGGTCGGATTTGGGCGCGGCACTCTCGAGCATACTAAACAAGAGAAGTTCGCACAAAACAGTTTGCTCTGCATCCGACCTATCTCCGCGAATCTTTTTTCCATCTTCGCCTTGATGTTGTTCTTCATCGGACGATGAATCTCTCTGCGATTTATCAAGGAGACCAGGTAGAATATAGGGACTGATGAAGGCCTGGAAAATCGGCAAAGGCAAATGGCGAATATTCTCAATGATGTAGTGATCGAGAACGTCAATTGCCAGAAAGTCCTTCGGAAGCAGCTCACACACCCTCGACAAAAGGCCAAGAAGTCGTTTGCGCAGATCAAGAGAATCCAGACCACCTAGGGGGGGAAAGACCAACATCATGTTGCGTTAAGGTTTGATCGGGGCCCGTAATCTCATCGATGAACTCGTTATCAAGTGGATCCTTCGTATTTCTCGTACCTCGCCTTGTACGCTTTGACCGTCTGGATCCTGCGCCCGAAGGAGACGTTGACTGCGAATTTGACTTGCTCGTTTCGAGGCCAGTAGTGGCCTCATCATCCGACTCATCCTGGGCTAGATAATCGCCGTACTCATCTTTGTCGATGTTAACGTCGCGCTCCCTCTTTTTAGCCTTCTCGGCTTGTCGATCTGACTTGGCCAGCTTGAGCTCCTTGGGAAAAACTTGGCGGAATTCATTGAGCGAATTCGTACCACCATCTGCAAAGATAGCCCTAATGACTCTGCGGTACTTGCCAGTCCCACTGCCAGCTGAGATGTATCGAAAGATCAAACTCTCTTTAAGAATCGTCAAGGAATGATCTTGGTATTGATCTAGGGTCCTTCTTTTGATTGGAACGCGCTGCTGTGTGGTTCCATCACCTTTGTCGGCTTTCCTTTCCTTGAATATGCGCTCTCGTTCATTCCAGTCGTCTTGAAGTACATCACACATAAACTCCAGCCAAATTTGCCATCGCTCCCATCTTTCATGATGGAGTACGGAGCAGTTAAATGTCCAGCCAACGGCATGCCAGAAATCCTCCGCCCGAGACCATAGAGAACCTTCTTTGCCGAGCTTGATGTTCAGCGGCTTGTTATCATCATGCCTGTGGCTTTCGTTGTCGTCTCCTGCCGCACGATATTTTCCCCCGGAACGCAAGGCTTGATCATGTGTAAAAGCAAATGCAATATCGAGTTTCGCTGCTCGGGGACTGACGAGAGTACCGAGAAGTCGCAAGAGCCGGAGAGCGATATGCGCGACCTCTTTTTCTTCGTCCGAAGAGGCCCGGGTTGTCGTAGACGGGTGTACGAGGAAAGTGACCGCTATCGCGAGATGGGGAGGCAGCGGGATAATGCACTCGGGGGATGTATAGCTGCCAGAAGCAAGGGTGTTGAAGAGAAGATTCAGTGCTTGGGTATCTATGATCGTGGCGCGTGATGTTAGTTCCTCGATCGCGGGGTTGGAGAGGTGTTTCACGGGGTGACTGACATAATTTCTCTTCAAAGAAAATCTCGATGTTTTGGACCAACTCAAACCTGAGAGGCTTCGGTGCACGATATTCCAAAGTGCCCCACGGAGCCATCTCGTCAAGATGCTGCGACGACATAATGGGCAGCTAGTCGCGTCCGATCTTTTGGGCGCGCACGCTTATCGATAAAGCTTAGTAATGTACCCTGATTGGATATGATTGGGAGATTGACAGATGATTGACAGAATTCCAAGGGACTTGTGGTAGATTGGAGATACGAAGATTGGAGGTTATTTGAGACCTTTGTGACGATGCAGGTGCAAAAAGAAACACTGGAGGTATTGAGAGCATTGAGGGTTGGTGAGCAAACGGGCTAGGCGGACCTACCAAAAATAGACAGAACCTACTGATAGTTACTACTAGTACTAGTGATTGTGAGTAAGCACTAAGATTTATTGATATATTTTTATTAGATATCACTAGTATACGATTATAAATGAATTCTATGCTCCAGCTAGAGTTTGCATGTTTATTTTGCATGGGCTGCTTTTGTCTGCATATACCATTGCTTACTCCGTATGCTATGATGCAATATCCCCCCCGCATGGACCGAGCCAAGAAGGATGACCTGCATCGTTCGGTCCTGCAGGCCCCGATTTAGCGGCACCACCGGACGAACTCAACTACACGTCTAAGGAACTAGTGGAAAGTGAATTATAGAGAGTAACATATGCACGGCTCTAAAGCTGAAAAATCTAGACAGGAACTGGAGTTAAAAGGAGAGACTCGCAGCCCAGGTGACTGTATTTGCCAAGCGAAAGGGAAAGGAAGAGGGGGAAAAAGGTTGCGAGAACCAACGACGGATCAAAACTCCGTGAAATCAACGCAATGCAAAAGCCTGTTTATGAGGCGACACAAAAAGGAAAGGAGGAGCTAGCTCGAAGGCCCGGAAGACGCCAATGTAGCAACAAGGGAAGGAAAAAAGACGTATGAAAGGACTATGACTCGTCAAAATCGGAGAAAAGACCTATTCGCATCCGATGCGACTGGTGGGTTGTTAGCGGGAGGTCCATCCAGATGGGATCAAAGGGAATACATACAAAAGGCAGCTTGGGGATAACCACGGATAGCGTCGCCAGGCAATTGATAGTGAAATAGGTCAGGTCGTAGTGGGTGTAGTGGGTGCTGATAAGGAAGAGCACAATCGGAACGCAGAGCAGGAACTTCTTGGTCGGAGTGTATTGATCACCGTTGTCAATTTGCTCCCACATGTTGAGATTATCGTAGGCGCCGGCGTTGAACTCGAACGGGATGCCCCGCACCCAATGAAACATGAGGAAGGAGCCAAACATATAGCTGATGTTGGTCAGAGTCCATGATGTTTCCTGCGAAACGCCCGGAATGATATCGTAGAAGATCTTCAGTGCGGCAATGCAGACGAAATGGATGGTCCAAGCCCCTGCTTATGGAAATAGCTTCTGCATCAGCTCTTGTTGCTTTCATGTGCTTTGTCCACGGTGTCCGGAGCGGATGGGGAGAGTCTGGGGAGAGAGGAGGAGAGGGTGAAGGATGCAAGCTTACCCTTCGCATTGACCCAGTTCGCATTGAGGTTCGGCAGTGCCGCCTGGTCACTGGTATGTTCGATCGACTCGGGAGGTTCCTGGTAGATGAGACTGCTCGAGCGTCGCCGACGGCCCTGCTTTTGGGTGTTGGGCGACAGTCGCTGTGCGCCGTCCATTTCGGGAGCGAATGAGATGGTACGCGAGACCAGTAGGGAGGACTTGGGAGTATCGGACGCCAGCTTGACTGGAGTTGGTGGTCGAGGTGGGTGGTCGGGGGAAAAGGAGCGTGGGGATGATGAAGTGACCGCGTGGAGTCGGGCGGATCGGGCTTGTCGGGGGTCACGGGGGCAATCTCGTTTTTTTCTTCTTTCTTTTTTTTTGGCCACAGCACTCTTACAATCAAGATTGGGGCGACTTTTGAGAAGAATGAGTGAGGATCAAAAAGGGGCGAATTATGAAATACAATCAAGATAGATGGACGAGGCGAAAGTACGGTGGGCTTGGAGACGGTATTTGTTGTAAAGCACGTGCGCGCCACTGGGCGACCTTGCCATTCCCAGCATTCGCCGTGTTTTTTTGGTTCCAGTTTGGAGTGAGTTCCAGATCGCTTAGTGTGAGACTATGCCATTGTGTGCCTAGGTGGCTTGATACTTGCCAGTGGCCAGCATCGTACCATATACTAGTAATTATATCCCCAAATACCAGTACCTAGGTAGTGTTGTGGGAAATACATATCCGAAATGGTTATAGAGATTCTGCATGTGAGGCTCGGATATATATCTAGGATCTGCTTAGTGCCCAGGTGTAAGTAGCACTGGCAGTACTAGTACTAATTCAGCATTTTGAATACCAGTGTTAATATACTAGTAGTTCGTTAACGCAATAGGCTAGATTAAAGCAAGGATAACTGGCTACTAGTACTAGTAATTCACCAATTCAACTTATTCTACTATTTTTGTGTGGTGCCCAGGTAACTCCGAGGGTCGCGCCTTCCTGCGTGAGTTCCTGCGGGGATGGTCTTCTCCGCCCGCCGTAAAATTTTGCGCTTGAATCTCAACCCATCAGTGTAGATCCATTCGCTTCATCTTCAACTCTTCACAACCTTCACCATGTCTGACTCTGGGGACGAGGCCGATTCACGGACGGCCTCTGTTGGCGCCCAGCGAGGCCGAAAAAACGCCACCTCCCGATCCTCACACGATACCAAATCCCGGCCCACGAAGAGACAACGGCGGAATGAACCCGCCGCATTTCGCGCCCTCGAAGATTTTGTCCCCCGTGGAGCCTCGTTCAGCGAAAAGCCTCTCGAAGTTGATCCCGATGAGACTTCAAGCTCTGGCTCCGGCTCCGGCTCGGACTCTGAAAGCGAAGCCGATTCTGATCACTCGGAGGCCTCTAGCAGACCCGCACCCGCACCCGCGACCGCAAACCCCCACGCAGGCAGTACGGCCCCCGCTGTCAGCTGGAACCAAGGCAGGAAAAATGCCGTGCGTACAACATTGGGAAAGCGCAAGGCCCAGCCGGAGCCAGACGCGACATCTGCGCAATTCAAGGCAGTCAATGGGACATATTGGCGCAGTCGCAGTGGTTCTGCTTCATCCGCAGGAAGCATTGCAGCAAAGAAGGACGAAGGCCAGTCAAACGAGGACAGTACGTCTGAAGAAGGCGAGATAAACTCGGCCAGCGACTCTGATGATTCGCAATCCTTGGATTCCGAGGCCGACGACTCTATCCTGCTGAACATCGGCACAAAGCATGAGCAGGCGGCGGATGAATATGACCCGGAGTCTTTGGACTTGAGTCAAGGCCTAACAAACGGTCATATAAATGGTGCATCTGGAGGAAAGGGCGCAGACTCCCTTTTGGACAATATACCCACAGCAGCGGAATCGAAAGAAGAAGCCTTCCAGCAATTCAGTCGCAAGTACCCAACTGCCCCGGTCACATTGGTAGACTTGGACAAAAGGGACCTCGAAAAGCAGGCCATGTTCTTGTACTGGGATCGCGATATCCACACTCTTGATCTCCAGCTGCCGGTTGGTTGTATCGAGTGCTTTCGCCAAGGTCACATGGCTGAAGTGTGCCCGACAAAAGAGGTAGCGATTCTTAACCCCTCGCCTTATTATTATTCGATATCTTTATACTAACCAAATCTAGTGCGAGCACTGTGGAGCGTGGAATAAACATTCAAGTAACCTCTGTCCCTCATGGCGACGATGCATACGATGCCGAGAGAGAGGCCACCAAGAAGAGCAATGCTCATCTGCCCTAAAGGGCTCCGCGTCCGAAGTTCCTTGCGACTTCTGCAGCCTACCTCACCTTGAGACCCAGTGTGATCAACGATGCGCATTCCCCATGCGGGATGTCACGGACCCGTCCATCAAGGTCGCTATGTCGTGCGCCCGCTGTGCCAGTAGCCAGCATCTCATCGGTGACTGCCCTTCAGTTCCATACCCTTCTTACTCATCATGCGCATTCTCTCTAAAGGGAATCGACCCAACAGCAATAACCAACCTTAGCGCTGGTGCCATCCCTCAAAAGAACGCTGGCCCGCCCCCTAGTCGCCCGCCCAGAGGACCGCGAAATAGAGGTCCCCGAGGTGGTGGTAATGGAGGAGGTGGTAACAAATCTTTCACTTCAGATAGCAGCGACGATTTGCCCCGTGGTGGGAAAAGGCCACCGCCTCCATCTCGTGGAAGGGCTCGCGGGGCGATTCGTTTCGGCGGTGGATTAGGTTCCGATCAGCCACGAGGAAAACCCCCTTCAAAGCGAACGCTCTCTCCGCTACCACGTCGCGGACCCCCCCCCCTCCGCGAGGCAGGGGAGGATATCGAGGCCGTGGGGCTTCCAATGGCGGACGCGGCGGCGGTGGCGGCGGGAAGCGAGGCCGAGGACGGTAGATCGACCACGCTGGTCGTGCATTATGAGTAACCTTACGAATACCATATATCTGTACATTGCCCATTGGAGTTTATATTTTGGTCTGTTTTGATCCTCTCTCAAACGAGGAGAAGTATGCATGCATCGGTAATGAGCTGGATTCTTATTGACCTAGTATGTTGAACTCGCTCACTAGAGCGCTGTCGCCAAAGAGCAGGAACAGCTTGGGAGAAAAATAAAATTTGTGCTACTTCTATATGTACATGTCTACTCTTTATGTTCATCATTCTCGCGAGTACCCACGAAACCTTGCTCAAGAATATCCACCAGTTCGTCCAAACGACTGATAAAAAGGTCGGTATGAGCATGTTCACGCAGATGGCCATTGCGCTCATTGACTAGCAAGACGGTTGCTGCGCCGGCCGTATGACCCGCCGTCATATCGTCGATGCTATCACCGACCTAGAAACTATTAGCAATGGAACTCCTTCGACAAAGCACGAGCATGGTTAACATGATAATTTTGCGACGTACCATGATTAGGCTCTCTGCGCGGTTGGGCAGTCCCCATTCCCCAGCGATATGCAAGATACCCGCGGGATCAGGCTTGGGGATTACATCAGGGGTGTCCCGAGTGATGATGGGGAGGAAGACATGGCTTGGTAGGTGATTCTGGATGAGATATCTCACCGGGGCTCTATGGGTTGATCTATATCAGTACTGTGGGGATTGCAATGCATACCACTAGTAGTACACTGTGGAAGGAATACGGACTCAAAATTCCGGGTGCAAAGAGCTCGTCGGAGTCCGCGTGACTGGAGATAATCCATCAAGCGTGCGAGGCCAGGCTGTGGTTCCTGGTTGAGCATTGCGCGCCGCTCAACGTCCTGGACTTTTGCTACGGCTTCGGCGCGCTCAGCGGGTGTTTCGATATCGCGGATGTGATGGAGGATGTCAGTGGAGGCATCGATTCCCAGAGCTTCTCTATATTTTCATGTATTAGAGATCGAATATTTGTCATTTGGTCTACCTATGTCCTTTCCTGGGGAAAACGGGTTTGTCCGGGTTGATGCCGAGGATGATTACGATGTCATCGAAATATCGAATATCCAACTCACCTCATTTCACTGAACATGTGATGTTGTGGGAGGCTGTTCAAATCATTAGCACCAATTGTTAGCACTACTCTGACGCTGTCGAGCCTGCCATAGGTGAACTGGAGTTTCCCGGTAGATCTCCGTCTGTACCGGGAGCTCGGTTGCTTGTCGACGAGGGCCTTCGATATGATGACGTTTGGGGAGTAGGGCAATCCAGAGCCCAGCCATGCAAGGTTGGGATCGTGATAGGGGAATAGACAGAACCTACCATAAAGTTCCATCCACATCAAACACAATGCCCTTCAGCGGCGGCGCATCCGATTTGCGGGATGTGTCGAGAGGCGCGAATCGCCGGGGCCGGAGATGCTGGCATTCTACTTTGGTTGCCGACATGATGGATGATTGAGCGCTTCGCAAGGCGGCACGAACGGTCATAGAGGCGCGATTGAGATGAAGTTGCGGAGGTGGAGGTGGAGGAGGGCGGGTTCCTATTGAAGTTCCAATGTTCCTTTCCCATAAGTGGGGCAGTGGATTCCGGCTGTACGGTGTGGGAGTATACGGAGTATACAGAGTATAGTAGTATGTAAGCTGGAATAGAATACTGCATACTAGTAGTATGTATGGTACGTATGCCTGTATCAGTGAGTTCATCTCAGTTGCTCCTTCCTCCCATTCCAATTTTCCACTCTCGCTCCTTCCACTTCTCTTCTCTTCCCAAACATGCCGAGTCACCTTCACCTTCACCTTCTATCAATCATGGATATGGATTCCTACATCGTCTTCATCTCATCTCATCTCATCTGATCACTTCATTCCGACTCCCTCCAATCTGCAGCCAAAATGCCGCTCATCGGTCGACATGTCTCCCACACGCATGCCAACCTGCCCATCTCGTTATGGAGTACCATCTCTCTCACCTTCGCCCTCTCATACCTGCAAATCATCTACGCCATCTCTTTCATCGCCCGTCCCTTCTGGAGTTCAAACCTGGATTTCCCACCCTTCAGACAGACCATCGAAAGCGCCGAGACATTTGCCATCAATATCATCCTAGAGATCGTTCCTACCTCGAAATATCGCTCGCCCGCACCGACAAATTTCATCAATGATTTCACAAGTCGCCGCTACCCATTGAGCCTCAATCGATCGAATCCAATGATTGAAACCTCTCAACCTGTGACTACAAGTGCCTCGGTGCATATAGTCCCCCCTCAAATGCCGCAGTGCTACCCTGAGCCCCGGATTTCGATTTCGCACCTGTCACCTCAACAAAAGGAAGTTCAAACCGAGACTATGCGTTCCACACACTCAGAACGGTTCAACAAGATAGGCGACTCAGGTGCTTCGATCTATGGGACCGCGAAGAAGGTCACTACATCCACTCGGCCCAAGCTATCCACCACCCTTGAAGCGCACCGGCAACATCAAGCCACCAGCCAGGCAATGCAGTCCGAGCCCGTGACTGGCGCCCACAAAACCACAACCGTCACAAAGCAAGAAGAACACGAAGAAGAGCAGCTTACAGTACATATCGTGGAGATTTTGCATCCCGCCAATCAAGCTTCGAGTTTGGATATATCCCAACCCGCTGCCCCCGGGCCTGTCATGGACATGCCCAATCCACTCATGCCAATGGATACGTCTCCTACCGACTCATTTGACGGCCCCGGTGAACTCGAACCCGAACTCGAACCCGAACTCGAACCCGAAGTTGATCCCCAGTCCGCTTCCTCCTCTCGCTATACTGATAATACGAGCTCGCTATCGTTGGATGCCGGCCATGCCGCCAAGTCCCATTCCACCGAGAGCTATCCTGGAAAATTCCCCGTCAGCGATGGTATGGAATATAGCAATTTGGCCACGGCCGAATACGCGTTTCGGGAGAGAGGGACAACTTCTGTACGGCCTTTCTCGGATTATTAGATATCAGGATTCCCTTTCTTTTGGACTCATGCGCCAGCACATGTGGATTTAGTATATCTGCGGTTTTGGGGATAGAATTCCGGTGTTGGAGGCTTTCGTTTCTTGCATTCTTTCAAGTTTCTTCTATCTTTTCTCTTTCTTTCTTTGCTGCGTTTTACTGTTCTGTGAATGAACGTCCGAGGTTTGGATATCCCACTGCTAGGGGGGTTTTAGAGTTGGACTGTATACTTAACTTATTCATAACTCTTACCATTGACTTGATAATGGATGCTCTATAAATTCAAGTTGTTCAATGGTATACATGTTTCAAGATAAGTGAAGTAGTGACTTATTTTCTTCAAGTCTTTTGTACTAATATTATGCGAGCTAACTATGGCGGATTGGTAGAATTGTAAGTCATCCATATCATACTGTCGATTGCCAGTGTACCCGGCACGTTCTACACGATCGAAGAATTGGAGAACATTTTGAAACTGAGTCCCATAAGAAGTCATGGTAGACGCACTTAGATTACACCATTAGGTATAGACCACTACCAACTATGCTAGTATCTACAATAAGTTCAGCTATCCCAAACCCAGGGCCATCGTTCAACACGCGAAACGGTTGAGAAATAGGCAACGAAAGGAGGGAAAGAAGAAAAGTAGTAAGTGAAAAGAAAATACTAGAACTGGAGAGAAAAAACCCCATGTAAATAGAACCACATACATCTCACTCTCAATCCCCTATTAACACTCACGCTGAGAAGAACAGGATTTTTTTTTTCTCGCAATGCACGTTGCTCATGAACGAAGATGGAACAAGATAATGAACTTGAAGGAAAAAGATGAAAAAAAGATGAACATGCTAACTCAAACAATCGTCTCTGTCGTTATAGGCGCAATGCGCCAGCTCATCACGTACAAATAATAGAAATTGAAGAAGGAAGAAGGGCGAGGGAATGCGTGAGGGGGGAAAAAGAGAACAAAACTCGCTAGACAGAAATACATTCCCGGGGTATCACAATGCTGGTCTTAATAGTTGTCATCATAATCGATCTGCATCGGACTGCCTCGGTATTGAGTACGCTTGATATTGCTGGGGCTATAGTTGCCGCCAGAGGTGAGGGGACGGGGACCAGTTGGTTTGCGGGTGGGAGGGGAGCGCATGGCAGAGCCCTGGTAAAGTTAGAACAATTGTTATTGCAGGGTTTGGAGTTGAGACGAAAGCTTAGACATACCCGTGAGACAACACGATCGCTGTACTGCTGTTGCTCTTCTGCTTCTTCCGAGACCTTGGGAGGTCGCTCGGGGATCAAGGGGCCGTCGTCGTTGACCTTTGGGGGTCGAGGGGGGCCAGGATTGCGGGAGCTGGCTTCTGAGTATCCTGCGTCCGAGATAGGGGACAGACGACTACCGCCACTGAAGCGTTGTTGGTTAGGGTTGACGGCTGGCAGACTGGGATTCGAGCCCCAGTGGTCTGAGGATGGGGATTCGGGTGTAGCATACGTCTGTGCCTGAGTTTCGAGCTGGTTTTGGTAGCGGCCAGTTGGGCCCTGTCGGGGCTGAGGGTGCTGCAGATCGAGACTGCCGCGATGAGCGCGGTACTTGGGTGCCTCAGAGACCTGCGAGGGCACCAAGGGAGATGGAGGACGGTTCTCTTGCTGATCGTCTTCGCCTAGAGTATAGGTAGACCTGATACGGTCATCACCCTCGGGGTCATAGTAATTACCGGATTTATAGGCGTCTGTGGCGAGATCAGAGCCAGAACGGGAGACCTCTGAGTATGGACGTTCCTTGCGACCAGGCTGGATGCTGTTGCGAATATTGTCTCCCATTGATGTGGCAGTGGACTTGGACCAGCGTGAGATTTTGGGGAAGATTGATGAGCTGCTCGACTTGTGCTTGCGAGCCTTCTCCGAAGCCTTGGGGGTTGTCTCTGTGCTTCGGGCTCCATTTGCTGCCACTGGCTTTCGAGGCGGGGTGTTGAGAGGCAGAGAGCCAGCTCTCTCATGACGAACAGGCTGCTTGATAGGCAAATGAGCAGTCATGTAGGCGTCGTTCTCATCGATCTCAAGATCCTCGTCCTCTTCATCCTCTTCGGGGACAGTGCTAACACGGGGATCCCCATTGCCTTGTCGAGGGCTGCCCATGTAGGGAGAACGACCGCCCATGGCAACATTGTTCGGGCCATTTTCAAAGCCATTCGGGTCGATGCTTGCTCTCCCGGGGGTCACAACATCATGACCAGTGCGCAAGGCCTCGACCTCCTCAAGAAGCTGCTCGAGCATTCCTTCGATCTTGGTTAAGTCGTTTCCTGATTTCCCGCTCAGACCCTTCAACGCACGCTTGAAAATGTTGGCCCGCTTGGCTTGGAGGTCATCGTTTTCCGCGTTGTTCAATTGACGAGAACGAGAAGAGCTGGGAGGCAGTGGACGAGGGCCACCGAGGGCTCTGTGCGTTCGCTCGTGCTGCTGGTCGCTAGTGTCCATGATCATATCATCTTGGTCGGCGATGAATTTCTTCATCTGCTCGAACGAGGTGCGCATTTCAGCGGCGCTTCGAACAAGAGTCACGAGAATCTCGGTATCCCTGGCATTTCGCTGGGCATCACGAACGGTGAGATGATCCATAAGAGCAACAATGTCCTTGGACTGGATTCTTTCAATGCCTCGACCAGTGGCGCTGTCGTAGAGCGGAGAGCCCACGCCGTGAGAGTAACCACTGAAGTGTCGCTGGTGGCCAGACCCGAATGGGTCTTCCTCAGTCGGACTCTCAAAGGCGCCCTCGAGGCCTCGATCCCCTTTCTTAGGAGTACCGATACTTGGAGACATGGGGTTGGCAGCTGACACGTAGCCTTCATCCTTGGCCCCCGGAGGGGTACCAAACAGCTGACCAGCTTGCTGGTCAACGACAAAGTCATCGCCACCAAAGATGTTTCTGGCAGTCTCATAGTACTCGGCATCAAGATTACGGGGCTGGTTCTGATCGAGATCTTTCGCGCCGTGATCATAGTAGGTGGGCTGTTCAGCTGGGGACCTTGATGCGTAGCCCCAGTGATCTTGAGCACTTTGAGCAGGACCTTGAATGATGGAAGGGTTGGTGTTGATCTCAGACTCGGACTCTTGACTGCGGTCCTCATCCGCACCCGGGCTATCCATGCCTCTAGAAGCTGCAGCCGCAGCCATTCCTGCAGCCATTCCCGCCGCAGCGCCTGCCTCATCAAAGTCGTCGATAGACTGGGTGACGCTTTGCGGTGGCGAGGTAGCACCAATCCGCCGAGGGAAGGATGTCTCATCGGGGCTGGAGGCGTCCTGGCGTTGCTTAAGAGGGCTTCCACGCTTTTCAGGGCTTCGGCTGGCCGCGCGCTCAGCGAATTCGGTCTGTGAGCGGTTTCCAGAGGTCTGAGACTCGAGGATGGACCCGTCAATCAGAGTAGCAACGTTTGACTCAACGCCGGCTGGGTGGATAAATTGCGGGTTGGCAGCAATG